TGGTGGCTCACAACCATCTGTAAAGAGGTCTGGCGCCCTCTTCTGGCCTTCAGGCATACAGACAGAATATTGTATACATAATAAATAAATAAATATTAAAAAAAAAAAAGAATTTGGGCTGGGGAAATGGGTCAGTGGGTAAAATACCTGCCTCACAAAAAGGCCCTGAGTTGGGAACCCTCAAGACTCATATAAAAACTAGATGCTGGTGTGTTTGTAATCCCAGCCCTGGGGAGGCAGAGGCAGGTGTGTCCTGGGACTCGCTGGTAAGCTAGTCTAGCCTATTGTTGAACATCGGTGAGAGACCCTGACTCAACAGATAATGTGGAATGGCTGGAGAACCCTCTCAGAGGTTAAGAGCACTGACTTCTCTTGTAGAGGACCTGGGTTCAAGCCCCAGCACTCACGTAGTGACTCACAACCATCTGTAACTACAGTTCCGGGGAGTCTGACATCCTCTCCTGGCCTTCATACGCACTGTGTGCACGTGGTTTACAGGCATACACATGGGGGAACACACATACACATAAAAGAAGTAAACGTTTGGCGATAAGCAGAGAGTGAAACCTGATGTCAACTTCTGACCTCCAAGTGCATCTGTACAGACGCATGCGAGTGCGCATGCGCTCACACACAGAAGGGAGAGGCTCCTGAGGGCTCTGCGGTACCCAGCCACACTGACTCCTCATCCTCCTCTTTCCAGAGATGTTCGATCTCACGGTTCTTGCTGTGAACTCCTCCCCTTCCTCCAGGCTTTGGGGGGCAAAGCCTGACCACGGTTTGGAATGTGGAAAGCATTGACTGAATCTCCTCTGCAGACAGATTCTCATACCCCTCCCCCATATCATCAAGGACTCAGAACTCACTCTCAATGGGGCCCTGGCCTGCAGCTGGAGAGATAGGAAGCTGGGTACCTTTGGGACCTGAGTTGGCACAGAAGAGTATTGCGAACTGTTACATCATCGAAGCCGTAATTGACTATCCAGTAGACACACAGCTCTGACGACTGCTTGATGAGTCCCAGCACGGTCCTGACACCTTCTGCCATGTCAAAGTCCTCATTTTGGCAGCCCTGTTCCCAGGCATACACAGTGAGCAACTCCAGGGCGTAGGAGAACCGCCGAGATGGGGAAGTCATCCTCTTCTCCTGGCATTGGGAGAGAAGACAGGACTGTCAGGAAGCCGGAGCCTAGACGATGTCTCCGTCCCCCGTGCCTGGAAGTCAAGGTGTCAGTACCATCAGACACAGATGAAGCGATGGAAGGAACACCTGGAATGCTCACACTTCTCACAGGGGTGTGAGTGTGTGACACAGTGTGTAAGCCTGGGCGGTGTGAGTGTATGGGTATATGTGTTGTGAGTGTGTGTGTGACTGTGTGAGTGTTTGTGTTATTGTGAACGTGTGTATGTGCCCGTGCATGAGTGTGCATGAGTGTGTGAGCATGAACACATGCTGTGTGAGTGTGGGTGCACGTGAATGTGTTTATGTGAATGTGTGTGAGTAAATATGTGAGCACAGAAGTGTATGAGTGTAAACATGTATGTCAGTGCGTGCATGCATGTGAGTATGAGCTGTTTGTGAGTGTGTGTGAGGAGGCCAGAGGTCAAGGTCAGGTGTCTCCCTCAGTCACTCTCTACCTTATGTTTTGGAACAGGGCCTCTCATTGAACCTGGGGCTCACTGATCGGGTGCAGTGGTTGGCCAGTGAGCCCAGGGGATCCACCTGTGTCTGCCTCCTGAACACGGAGTTACAGACACAGGCTGCCACTCCTGGCTTTACAAGGGTGGTGGGCTCTTCTGTGCCTGCACAGCTATACTTTCCTCACTGAGCCTTCTCTCCAGTCCCAGTAGAGGGGTTTAAAAAATCCACTTGGCACTCTTTATTAAAGCTAAATAAGTACGCTCCACTATATTTCATGCAGAGTCCACGTATGCAAATATAGACACACACGTACATGCTGTCTGGGGCTCCAGCAATTCTACTGCAGGTCTACCCAAGAACAATGAGTGCTTAGGTTCACAAAAGACATATCAGAGGACACCCACAGTAACCCAAGTCACAGAGGTCACAACCTGGAAATGACCCAAGGGCCCGGCAGCAGCGGAGAGAAAAACACGGGTGTGTTACTATAGTGGAACACACGAGGGAATGAAAACTACTGCTATGTAATGATGTGGCTGGATTTCTCAGACACGGAGTGAAATAAGATGCCACCTGTGTGCAGTGTGATCCATTTACAGTGTTGGAAAATAAGGGGGGGGCAAGATGAAGAGAGTTCCATCCCCAGGACCCACATAGTGGACGGAGAAAACTCATTTCTGTACGTTGTCCTCTGCCACACGTACACTATGGCACATCCCCCCCCATGCATGCACACACACTATTTCTCATGCACTTGTGCACACACACATGAACACACTCTCATACACACATGCATGTGCACTCACACACGTGTACACACATCACATTCTTTTAAATAAGATTCATCTGTGGTGATGGTTATTGGAATTTAAAAATTATTTTAATATATTCAAATTTTTATTACTTATATGTATGGGTGTTTTGTTTGTATGCTTGTCCATGTGCCATGTGTGTGCCTGGTATCTATGGTGGCCAGAAGAGGAGTGATAGATGGCTGTGACTTGCCATGTGGGTGCCGGGAATTGAACCCAGGTCCTCTAGAAGAGTAGACAGTGCTCTCAACCATGGAGCCATCTCTCTAGCACCCTAATATTTTTTGTTATGTGTGTCTGTGCATGTGAGTTCAGGTGCCTCTATAGGCTAGAGGTGTGAGACCCCCCCTGGAGTTAAAGCTGGTTGTGGGATGCCTGAGGTGGGTGCTGGGAATTGAACTTGGGTCCTCTGGAAGAGCAACATGTGCTCTTAACCGTGGAGCCATTTCCTCAGTCTCTGGATTTTTTTTTAAGTGTCTTGCTATATAGTTGAGGTTAGCCTTACACTCTAGATCCTCTCGCGTCCACTGCTTTAGTACTGGGGCCACAGTTGTGCGACCCCTAGGTGCTTGGGTTGAGAAAATACTCAATTTTGGTTTGTGGATGAAGAAAAGATCAAATTAGATGGAAGTATGTTGTTAATATTATTAAAATTTGCTTGCTGTGAATGATCTCAATTAAAAGGTAACACAGTGGGGTGTGGTAGCACATGGCTTTGATCCCGGCAATTGAAAGGCAGAGGTAGCCTGAGACTCTCTTGAAACAAGGCAATGGCATAAATTACCTCCTGATACCAGTGCTTTACCAACAGGACCAGCTCCTTCACTCTCCTGGGATACCGCTGGAAGAACCGCTGCTGCAACGTGGTGAAGCAGGCTGCAAACTCGCCGGGCGCTGCTCTTACTTTATCCATGGTACTTTTGAGATCCCGATAGATCCGGGAGCTGGAGTCCTCACCAAAGCCTGCTGACAGAGAGCAGCAGGATGCTCGACTCTGATGGTGGTCTGAGTCAGCTGGAGCTGGGGAGATGTCTAGTTAACAGTGGGGCTACTCTCCCGGGTAGACAATGAAGGCTAACAGGAAGCCTGACATGAAGGCAGGACGGGGTGGACCTGAGACAGGGTCAGCGGAGTCACGCAGAACACGAGGCAGTGAACTATGCATGAGAAATAGATGCCCCGGGGTGATACCGAGGGCAAGGTGTCTGCACGACTGGCGGATGTCTGTACCACAGAATGCCTTCTACAGGTACCTCTTACAGAGACTCAGGGACACCTCGAGGTGGCAGGAGTGGGGAAGGGTGGAGGTGCGCTGAGCCAATTAGTTTCCATTCTTGCCTGCTGAGCTCTGCCATTCATAAATATATTTAGGTGCACAGCCTGGGGCGAGCAGCCCTGGAAGGACACCCTGGAAAGAGCTGGGCACATGCCTTACCATTTATTGAGTGTCGACTGTATACCAGGCACAGTTGAAGTCCTTTATGCAATGAAGTAACATGAAAGTCTTATAAACCTCTCGCGGGGGTGCAACTATCAAGTTAATTATCTTGAAAGAAACGCCCTGAAGTTAAATAAACTGGAGCCAATTTTGGGTTAAATGTCCTTGGGAAAGAAACCATGGCAGCAGCCTACCTCATCTGTTTGGGACACGTAGACCAGATTAGTTTTATTTTTATATAGTAAAGTAAGCAATTTATGAATCCCTCTGTAGGGTCTTATTTTCTCAGAAAGCAACATTTATTGCTTCCTTGTAATAAAAAAAAAAATGTTGCCAGGATTGGTGGTGCACACCTTTGATCCCAGCACTCAGGAGGCAGGGGAGGTGAATCTCCAAGAAAGTTCCAGGACAGCTAGTGCTACACAGAGAAACCCTGTGTATGGGCGGGGGGATTTGGAAGATTCAGCTCTACTGCCACCTGGTGGTAGCATCTGGGTGCTACATGTGAAGCTTTCCCTCTCAGGGCAGCAAGCAGAGGGTGGGCTGGTCTCCTGCCACCAGGCCCTGGGCATTAGAAGAGAGAAGCCATAATTTCCTGCAGCGATGGAGCCTCACATCTCTCTCACCGCTGACTTCCATTCTTTTGAGGCAGGCACACCACTACAACCAAACAAACCTGGAAGCTAGCTGCCCTGATCTTAGAGTCGGTGACAAAGGGACCCATGGGGTCATGAATCAGTTACTTTTCTGGTCCCTGGGATGAGACACCTGACAGAAGCAACCGAAGTGGGGGAAAGCTTTCTCTTGGGTCACTGCTGGGGAAGACATGGCTGCAGGAGCTGACGCTGAGTGCTTCCTCCTTGGATCAGGAGGACTGGAAGTGGGGTTGGAGGCAGGGTTGGGTTACCACCCTTCTTCAGGCTCAATTCCAGTCCACCCACTTCCTGTGGCAAAGACCCTTCTCCTACAGGCTCTACACCCTCCCAAATTAGTGCCACTAGCTGGGGACCAAGTGCTTCAAACCCTAACAGATGAGAAGGGCCCACGGTGGCAGCTTGCATTGCTCTCTGATTCAGGCCATCATCCTGAGAATGCTGTCATGTGGGTGCATGTACATCTCCATCTTGTCAGAAAATGGTCAGGTGATGCTTATTCGCAGTTCCAGTAACCCAGAAGTTCCTCGGAATTGTGGACAATGGAGGCACCCTAGCCCCTAGCTCAGAAGCCCTGGGCTGTCAGACTAGTTGAATCTACCATTGGCAGCAGAGCCACCAGCCATTCCTGTCCTTCTGTTTCCCTGTTCATCTGTCTGTCCATCCCCACATCCATTCACTTTTCCATCTGTCTATACATCCCCTCTTCCTTCCACCCATCTAAACATACATTCACACATCCACCCATTTTCCCATCTGTCCACCCATCCATCCATACGTCCTCTTACACATATACCGATCCCCCACTTCTACCCACCCATCCATACATCTAGTGAGCACCCAGCCATCCACTCTCCTTCACCCACTCACCTATAAAAAGGGTTGGGAACATTTTATCTAAAGTAAATGAGATGAGAATGAAGTTCTAGATAGAATATGTCCAGGGTAGGAGGCTTTTCTCTCTTGGGGGCTGTGGTGATGAGTCCCAGAGGCTCATATGTTTGAATGCTCAGTCCCCAGTTGAATTGTTTGGGAAGGACTAGGAGGTGTGTCCTTGTTAGAGGAGGTGTGTTGCTGGACCCAGTGACTCTCTTTCTTCCTGCTGCCTGTGGATCAGGATATGAAGCTCTCAGCTATTGCTCCTGTGCTATGCCTGTCTGCTTCCCACCATGATGATGAGGGACTAACCCTCCGAGCCTGTAGGCCAGCCCCCAATCAAATGCTTCTTTTTTTAAAGAGCTGCCTTGGGCAGTAACAAAACAGTGACTCAGACAGGGGGTTGCGAGCCCCATTTTGGAAATAGCCAGTCTGTCTGTCACAGCCTCAGCCTGTAGGACTCAAGTGGCTCCCCAGTACTCCCAGAAAGTTGGGGACCCCACCCCAGTCCCTGGAGCACTCACATAGAGGATCAAAGGCTGGAAGGATCTGCAAGAGTATCTTCTGCCCATGTACGGACAGTAGAACTTCAAGGGTGTGCCCAAGGCTCACTGACATAGAGTATTTCTTGTGGTGTTTCAGCCGTTGTTCAATCACACTGAGGAGTCCACGTTGGTTTTCCTTCTGATCCCGAAAGCTACGGAAGCCACCCATAAAGAGAACAAGGGTGCCATCTGAGTAGCCTCTTAGGACTGTTTCCCGACCATAGGAGCCACCCTGCAGGGAATGAAGCAGCAATAGTGAGGTCTGGACTTTCTGTAGCTCCAAACAGTGACATTTGTCAAGTCCAGTGAAATTCCCAAATGTCACCCTCATTTTAAAATCAGGTTGCTAGCACTAATTTGCGTCCGTGTCGGTACGCGAGCTCCAAACTGGAGGCAAAGAAAACTGCAATATGATGAATACATGGCACAGTGGAGTACCATACAAGAGTGAAAACGGCAGCACAAGCAAAACTCTCACAGATCGAGTCAAAGATGCCATACAGCAAAGCGCGCATGCGCTTATGCATGTACCCAGTCCCCGCTAAACTGAGCACGGATTACAGCAGGACCCTGTGCTGCTGGGAACACTGTGTGTCTCACCATCACAACACTCTGAAGTGGGGGCTAGGCTGATCTCATTCTACAGACCCAGACCCAGACCCAGACACTGTGGTACAGAGAGATGCAGCCGCCTGCCAGAGGCGTCTCCAGGCAGAAGGCGAGGTGACTGCTGCTTGTGCCCCTGAACAATCTGCCTTTGTGTCCGCAGAGGGAGAAAAACCTTGGGAAGTGCAGTCGCCAGGGCCTGGTGTGGAGCAGCGCTCAGCATCACCATGGGGGGTGGAGGTGGGGGAGGGGAACAGCCTGGGTCTCCAACCTGGTTCTTACCTTAGCCACTCCCCGCACAGGGAGCTCACTGCTCCACAGGAAGTCAGAGATGGCATCCACGTCCTGGTCTATCCGTTTCAGGCATTCTTCACTGGGTTTGAGTTTTGCGTGGATAAAGTCTTTTAGCCTGTATGCTGGCACTGCGTGCAAGTCAGGCCACCCGCCGGATAACCCATCGGATGATCTCCAGGATGGTCCCGCTGATGGCTCCCCAAATGATCCCCCAGATGGCCCGGCAGATGACTCGCCAACCAGCCAGTTTCCCATAGTTGCTAGCTGGCCTCAGGAATGCTGTAATGGCAGAGGGATGGCCCTGTAGGTCAGGTCTGGAGATTCTGCCCCACTACAGGGGGGTGTGACTCCATAGAGGAAGTGGAGTCCGAACTCGCTGCCCCTCCTCCATCACAGCCTTGCCTAGGAAATCGAAACCCAAGTGTGGGAGTCACTGCCCAGCAGCTGCATGGGGAACTTCCTGCTAGCCAGCCTCTCCTGGGACACACCACTCCAGAGCCAGAGGTGAACTCCTCCGCAGAGGCCTGATGTGTGTGTCCTTCAGAGCAGGACTGACTTCCTGGTGTCTCTATCTCCTCCATCTGTAGATCAGGGGAACCTGTCTAAAAAATAACCAAACCAGTAATCACTAAGCTAATTTGGTTTGATAGAGGGTGGAGGGTGTCCATGGAGACTGGCCCTTTTCTCCTGTTTACAGTGGCTGGAGCACGCAGTGCCAGGCTGAGCAGTAGAGAAAGAGCCCAGAGAGGCTACTGACTTACTCAAAGACACACAGCATGGCAGGTACTCTGGTAGATATAGGCTTCCTTTCTGCCTTTGGATGAACACGGGGCCCTAAAGAGTCAAGAGTAGCTTCCTAACACACACACACACACACACACACACACACACACTTAAAGTAAAATTTAAAAATAAAATTAAAAACAAGGGGAATTTTGTCAATTCAATATAATTATTTTGTGTTGGTTTTGAGACAGAGCCTTGCTATATAGCCCAAACTGGCCTTGAACTGGTAATCCCCCTGCCTCAGCCTTTCATAAACCATTATTATAGCATCTTCCTTCAGGGTAGGACGGACATTGTGTTTAGCTGTCCTATGTTGCAGATGGTGTCCTGGGAAGCTCACTGGTTTTGCATGTCCCCACAAGCAGAGTCCCGCTGAGTCCTGGACCATCGAGAGTACTGGCCCCCTACAGGAACCCTGAAAGCAGGAGGACTCTCGAAGTTCCTCTAAGTGAGGCCAAGGACAGAAATGACTGCAGGGGACAGACACTAGTGGCTCTCAGGGACCCTGCCTCGGCCTCCTGAGTGCTAGGGTTGTATATGTGCGTCACCTCACCCATTCCTAGCTACGAGGAGCCCTCTGGAACTTCTCCCCAGGGCCATGGCCTGAATAGAGCTCAGAGGATTCACTGCCACCACCATGGTGTCTGCTGTCGGAGATGGAAGGGCTTAGGTCAGCAAGGCCTCTCCGTGCCTAAATAGCTATGACCTCACTCCTCACTCACTCCAGCCACCAGCCACCTCAGTTCTGGAGCCATTTTGGCAAAAGGGTTCAAAGTCTGTGTGGTGGGAAGACGGGCTGGGATACTAGGCCATTGCCCTATCTGTTGCTAGATTCCATGGAAACATAGGTCTCTTCTGGTCACATTTGTCTAGACCAGAGGTTTTCAAGCGGTGGGTCTCAACCCCTCTAGGTCAAACAACCCTTTCACAGTAGCCTAAAATAACTGGGTCACACATATTTCCAATGGTCTTTGGAACATGTCCGCCCACATGCTGGTATGCCCACGGACGAGTACCTAGAACTGTATTAAAGAGTCAAAGCATTAAGAAGGTTGAGAACCACCAGTCTAGAGCTCCGAGGATGTTGTGACCAGCAGCCATCAAGAGACATAATTTGGGGTCTGGTTGGCATTCTCCGTGAGTTGGCTAGGTGAGGTGAAGTTGGGACCAAGCCTTGCCTGGAGCCAAGAGCAGGAGATGCCTCTCACCCAGGCTGGCCACTGTGGGCTAAGCTGAGGAGGCAGGAATGGGCTCCAAGGCTGAAAATACTAGGGAGGCGCTGTCCTCCTGCATCCCGGTTGTTCTGTCCCAACTGCTGTCCAGGGAGAGCCGGGCTGTCTGAGACACTCCTGATGGGGTATGGGCAAGTGCAGCCACCTTCCTCCGTTTCTCATTCTCCTGTGGAAGGATCATTACCATGTCCACCCCTCAGGTGGTCCCTCTGGAGGACCCTGCTGTGGCCACACTGCTCCCGGTATCTGGCACTTGCTTCCTGTGTGCAGGGCTGGGACATTCATAAGGCATGTCTCCCTACCTTCCACCCCCTGGTTCCTAGCTGTCACTTAGACTCAGCTAGGGGATTGGAGGCATTTTCCCATTTAAGACAGATAAGTAGACATTTGTCCTGGAGACAGCCTGGCATCACCCTGGCCCTGGTGGGAATCAGAGGACAAGGGACAAACACTGCCCATCCACAGTCCACCCATAGTGTGGCGAAGGTGAAGATTCTGGAAAATCAGTTTCTGGGTCAAGGGCTTGCTAACCCATCCCTTCCTGTCCCCATCAGGACCCTGTTTCTATTGCATTTGGGAGCATCAGACATCAGGAGGCAGAGGCCTGACCTTTCCTGGGGAGACGCGAACAAATGTCTGTTCAACCTAGACAGGGCACAAAGACTGAGCAAGGAAAAGATGCCAAGTCTCTAGTGGTGAGCTAATGGGTTTATTGGGGTTACTAACGGCATGAGTTGGGGGTTGCAGGGTGTGGGTGACCCCCAAGCACTGCATTATCAAAAAGCCTCAGCCTTCATCGGTGCTGAGTCAGGAAAGCTGTACCCCTGTGCTTCTCACTTACCCTCCCTGTCCTAGGCCCTAGGCACTCCCTCTTGAGGGAGTGGGTGGAACCACAGGAGAGCTTGGGGTCCTTCCTGCTCGTTCTATGTCCCTAAAGCCCAGGTATCACTTGTTTTGCTTATGTCATTATCGTGGCTGTGGACCCGGGTATTCTGTAGCCAGCATCACAACCTCTGCCCCACGATGGCCACGGTCACATTACACGGGGAACATATCTGGACCACAACTGGGAGGGTCTCTGCAGGTGAAGGGATACCAGAGAGGAGTGTGGCTTCTTGGCAGGGCTGGGCTGCTGCTGGTGTGGCTGTGGGGGTGGGGGCAGGACACAGTGAGTGCTGAACAGCAGACTGGCAGAGCCTGAGATGTCTGGATCCTAGGGAGCCTAGCATGGGAGTCAGGGACACTGGGGTGATCAAAGCAGAGGTCAATGAAGCTCCACTAGGTGGGTAAATGGGGGAGGAATGAGAGGGTGGTGGGTGAGCAGGCAATCAGATGGGAGATGGTGTGAGGGGGGCACACACAGACACACATACATATACACACAAACATACATACATATACATACACATGAAGTCACACACAGGCACAATCTAAGACGCATACACAGACACACACAAACACACATGCAGACACAGATACACACCAACAGATACACACAGAACACATGTAGACACACACAGATAAACACACAGACATACACATGCAGACACACAAAGACATATATACATGCAGACATACACAGACATATGTACACACACACACACACACACATCTGGCCCAATACTCCAAGTCTCCCATACTGAGGGCTGGTATCATTTTCTCTCAGCCGATGTGACCACTGATCTTTCTGGACGTCATACAGAAGCCTGTGGGAAGGAAGACATGCTGGTTACCTTAGCATTTCTGCAGAGCTGAGACCACACACGTACAGGTCCTCAGGGGCCATGGGTGGGTCCCGTCCCTCAGAGAGGACCATGTCTGCTCATGACCATGTCCTCCCCCAAAGGATGCTCTTGTCTACCTCAATGCCTCTCACCTTCACCAGCCACGGCTTGATGGGGGTGCCGTCCTTGTCCATGCAGCACAGGGCAGATGTGCAGGCTGCAACGTCCTGGGCAAGCAGGTCCCAGCAGGTATTGCGGCCCAGGTTGCCTGTGGGGTCAGCTGGATCCAGGATGATGGGTCTGCAATTGTACCCAAGGTCAGTCTCATCCCCACAGCGCCCACCTGAGACACTGGCTGGGCTGTTCTCCAGTCCCTAACACTACAGGGGCCAGGGCCAGGACCTCGGGGCTCCTCAGTACCCCAGGTGCACACTCTAGGGCAGGGGTAGAAGAGAAGAGGCGTATGGAGTGGGGTGTGGTGGCAATGCCTGTAATTCCAGCACCCTGGAGGCAGAGGCAGGAAGATTGTGAGTTTGGAGCAACCTGGGCCACACAGTGTATTCTAAAGGGTTGGGGGTGAGGGGACTGGCGAGATCTCTCATTGGTTAAGAGCACTGGCTGCTCTTCCAGAGGACCTGAGTTCAGTTCCCAGCAACCACATGGTGGCTCACAACCTCTGGAACTCCAGTTTCTCCATGGGCACTGCACACACAGTGCACATACATATACGCAGACAAAACACGACACACATAAAATCCTTAGAAGGGAAGGAAGGAAAGGAGGGAGGGAAAAGCAGCTGCACGGGTACCACTTCTTCAGGCTGTATTCATTACTAACCACTCACAGGGCTGCCCTTCCTCCCTGAAGCAGGCATTGCTAATGGATTACAGCCCTGATTCTGCCACTGCCCTTCCCAGCATCCACGGCAGACATCATCAGCTAATATATATCATACACCAGACCCTTTCTCAGGATACACTGCCACTGCCACTGCCCGCAAACAGTCAGTGTAACGTGCATTTCAGGGACAATCCCGCTTATCTCTGTCCCCATTTCAGAGGTGGGCGTGACGGTGAAGGATGACATGTGCTTCTATAACCCGAAGGCTGCTGGTGAGAAGTTGCCAGGTATAAAGAGTGCGAACACCCGATGCCCAGTTGTATCCTAGTTTCCGAGGAATCACAAATGCGCTTGAAGTTTGAGGCGGGATTCTCATGATGCAGCCCAGGCAGACTTTGAATTTGAAGCCCTCTACCCCCAGCCTCATGGTTTCATTTCATTCTCTTATGTGTACCAGTGCTTTGCCTGCATGTGTGTCTGTACACAAACATGTCTAGGGCATGGAAGCCAGAAGAGGGCGTCAGACCCCCAGGAACTGGAATAGGTAGTCACGAGCAACTGTGTGGGTTCCGGGAATGGAACCCAGGTCTCTGCAAGAGCAGCCAGTGCTCTGAACTGCTGAGCCATCTCTTCACACCTTCTACCTCAGCCTCTTGTGATTACAGATGTGTGTCACGGCATCTGGACACTTTTTTTTTTTTTTTTTTTGGACAGGTCTCACATAGCCCAGGCTGGCCTTGAATTGGTTTTGTAGCCAAGGATGACTCTGGACTCCCATTCCTCCTCCACCTCCTCATGAGTGTAAGTTTCACAGCTGTGAACCACCAAGCCCAGTTCATGCAGTGAAGGGGATGGATGCTGGGCAAACCCTCCGTCAGCTAAGCCACGTTCCAGCTCTCACATTAAAAGTAAAAAGCACATGTCTGGCCCAAATCTTGCATGAGGGCCACTCAGACTAGCATGCTATCCGATTTGTCTGCACTTGAGTTGAACTTGGAGTCTTGCATCTATTTCATCTGACAACCACATTTACAGGTGGCCAAGAAACTGACTGACTCTCTCCTCAGGCACTAAAAGTACCACTCTGGGAAGTTGCCCAGTTCCTGAGAGCAGGCCTTGCCCTTTCATCTTCTGCCAATAGGGAGGCAGGAAGTGGATATTGTGGGTCTGAGGTAGAGGAGTCTGGGGGTGACCAAACCTGGGCTTCTGAAGTTGCAGCTTCAGGAAGTCACTGATGGCTTTGTCCTCGGCGTTGTAGTTGATGGTCCAATAGATGCACAGCTGGCGGTGCTGGCCAACCAGCTCCAGCACGGTGCGGAAGCCCTCCGCCATGTTGAACTGGGGATTCTGGCTGCCCTGCTCCCAGGCATACATGGTCAGGAACTCCAGCCCATGCTGGGGTGGCAAGGAGCCCTTCCCCTGGACCATCTTGTTGCACTGGGGAAGCAAGAGAAAGGAGACGTGCTGGTCCATGTTGGCAACACAACAGCTAATGCCTCACCTGGTGGTCAGAGGGGCTCCAGGGATTGACAGGTGCACCCCTAAAGCTTAACTGAGCACCATTGTGTGCCAGGCTACTGGCCAGGCATCACCCTTGGCACAGAGACACAATGTGTTAGCTCAAGAGTGCTTGGGGGCATGTGTGTGTGTGTGTGCTGGGGGTGGGGCTCGGGCTCACGCATTCCAGGCAAGGCTCCTACCAGCCCCTCTCCATGAACTGCACCCCAGCATGCCAGTTCCTTATCATTTTGAGACAGGTTCTTGCTGAGTTGGCCAGACTATCCTTGTGCTCACTCTGTAGCCCAGGCTAGCCCTGACCTTTCAATCTTTCTGCCTCAGCCTCCTACGTAGCTAAGATGAGAAGCCTGCACCAGACCTGGCTCGACCCTGCTTTATGGACCTGCAATCCAAGGTCCTCTGGGTGGAATGTGACTGACCTCACACACTTGCTTGTGGCCAAACACACAACCCTCCTCTTACTCACCCCTCCCCCCTGCTCCCACCATCTCCTCCAAGGAAAATACTCAGGACACAGGTTCTGGGACCCAGCATCGCTGTGAGTGTATGTGTGGGAATTCGGGTGACGGATGCCCCTGTGCCTAACCTGTTGGTACCAGTGCTTCACCAGCCGGATCAAGCTCTTGAGTTTGGTGGGACGGATGCTAATGAAGTCACGCTGCAGCTCCGTGAAGCAGGTAGAGAACTCGCCTGCGTTGCTGTAGCTGTGGATTAGGTCCTTGTAGACCTGGGGATCAGGCCTAGAGCCGGGCCTCAGCTGGCCTGTACAGTGGGAAAAGGTTAGAGTCACTCTGCCGTCTAGGAAGCCTGGGTGAGCCAGTTTTCAAAGCTGGTCTGAGAGACCCTTTGTCTAAGGGTGACCTGAGACCCACTGGGAGGTCACCAGGTTTTAGTGAGGGCATAAGCGTGGCATGATCCATCTTAAAGCCCTCACGAGAGTGGAGTTATTGCCCAGCTTTTTTCCAGCCACCTGCTTGCCCACCATAGAGAAAGTCTTGACTGAGAGTCAGCCTAGGGTGTGGTGTCTCTAACCCCCTCTGATGCCCTCTCAGCCCGCTCAGGTAGGGGGCTCCAATGGTCATTAGACAAAAAGCCTTCTTCAGGTACCAGGGCTGCAGGGGGCAGGGGGACCACAGCTGGCTCTGAAGACCTAAACAGAAGCAGACCAGACCAGTTCATGCAAATAGAACCAGAGCCCACACAGCATCTAGATGCCTGTCTGTCTCACTCAGTATGTGGGTGCTCCAGGGTAAGATTCACACCCCAGGCAGAAGACTGAGGTGCCTACTTAACATATCAAAGTGGACCTGACCTCCAGGTTCTCCAAGAATCCCCAGTTCCTACCTGTTGCAGGGTATGGCTTGCACACCCCACCCTCTGCCCTGAATTCTCCAGCCCAGGGGACTGGGACTGTCCCCCCCCCCAAGGCTTTTCCCTGAATAATCCAGACATTTTGTTTACTTTTTTGTACCTTTGGCGTCCTGGCTGCTGCACCTGACTCCCCTCTCCCTATCTCTTCCCTTCCCCTCTCCCCACAATGCTCAGTTCAGCCTGGTCAAGTCCACTCAGGCCTCTCCCAGATGTCCCTGTCTCTGACTGTGTTCTCCCTTTTATCTACAATAAACTTTCTCCTCCCCCATACCTAGGAGCAGCCATGTCCTTTCCTTTCCTTTCCTTTCCTTTCCTTTCCTTTCCTTTCCTTTCCTTTCCTTTCCTTTCCTTCTTTCTTTCCTTCACTGGAAGCTGATCTTGGGTCCCATGGTGGGCTGAATGAGAACGTCCCCTCACAGGCTTATACATTAAAGTGCTTGGTCACCAGGTGGTGGGACTGTTAGGGAAGGATCAAAGGTGTGGCCTTGTCGGAGGAGGCTTTGAGGTTTCAAACACCCACTCCAGTTCCCAGCTTCCCCATGTCCAGGGATCAGGATGTAAACTCTCAGCTACTTCTCTAGTATTGTCTGCTGCCATACTTTCCTCTATGATGACAATGGACTAATTCTCTGAAACCATAAGCAAGCCCCCAATTAAATGCTTTTTTAAAATAAGAAGAGCTGCCTTGGTCATGGTGTCTCGTTACAGCAATAGAACGGCAGCCAAGACAGGTCCTCTGCAGGCGTAGTACACACTCTTAACCGCCTGGCCAGGTCCTCAGCCCCTCCTCTCCCAGCATCTTGTGGGAACCAAAAGTGGGGCCTTGCCACACACGACAGAAAAGTTGTGATCAATCTCCACATCTCCCATGCCTGTGACATGGATAGGACCGTGCCTGGGACCACTCTGCCTGTGTCCGGGAGCCCCACCGAGGGCGTCAAAGGCTGGCAGCACGTCGAAGTCCACGCTCTGGTCCAGCAGTGTCTGGGATGTCAGGGAGAAGCTGAGCACTCGGGGATTCTTCCTGTTGGAGATCTCAAACTTGACATCGAACTTCTGCTTCTGCTGGCACGCCTCCAGCTGTGCCCGGAACTCTGAGATGACCCCTGCCAGGTGGCTGCCTTGTTCAGAGAACTGGCGGAAGCAGCTGAGGAACACCACAAGGTCGGCATCCGAGCGCCCTTGTAGAGCTGTGCCTTTGGCAGAAGAACCGCCCTGAGGAGGACATGGAAGGTGGCTTGAGCCCTGAGTGCCCTTTGATGTCCCACAGATTGTGTGTGTGTGCGTGTGAGTGTGTGTGTGTGTGTGTGTGTGTGTGTGCATGCGGAGGTCAGAGGTCGACACTGGTGTTTCCACCAATCTCTATTATTATTATCGTTATGATTTTGAGACAAGGTCTCGCTGAGCCTGGAGCTCACCAATCTAGCTGTGCTGACTGACCAGGGAACCCGAGGGGTGGTCTTCTCTCTACTCTGGAGTTTGGGTATCACAGGCAGTCTCCATGATGCCAAGTTCACGCAGTGCTGGGGTTGGAACCCAGGGATTCCTGTATGCCAGTTAAATTCTCTGCCAGCAACGTGTCCTCCAAGAAAAGAGAATCCCCCTTTCTGGAGGTGTAGCACTCCCAAGGGCTGCCACATAAGAAAACAGTTTTGTAGATTTGTATGGAAATCAGATGACTGACTGTTAATAAATTTCTTGTGTTTTTAGTTTAAAAAGAAAGATAAAGGCAGATCCAAGAACCAGAGAAAACAGCCAGCCCTGGTACCCTGTGGATGTCTCTGGATCACGCTGTGCCTGTAAGCACACCGCTCTCCAGCTGAATCAGCCACCTTGTTCCGTTGCTGTAGACATGGACATCACTGGAGCCCACGAGGCGGCTGGAGAGGGGTCCAGCCCACAGGAGTTCCCTCACTTGCAGCTTTCCAGGCCTCACCTTAACCACCTTGAGCACTTTGATGGGAGAATCCCGGAAGCAGTTTTCCTTCAGGAAGGAGCATATAGTATCTACGGCTTTCTTTACTTGATCCAGGAAATGGCAGTCGGGCTAGAGGAATTTGCTGATGTCCAGGTCCCCAGCTGGGGTCTGGTGAAGAAGGGCTGGCTGTAGAAAGAAATGGGCAGTGCTGGCTGAAGCAGGATGCCGGGGAAACCCACGTGTCAGGCTTCAGCATTCCGGAATGATGCTGCTCCCACGGTCTCCCACGTCTCCTGCACCCACGGTCCTTCCCCTCTGACTGGTGTGTCCCTAAGTAACGCAGCAGGGCCTGAGCTCCAGATCTGTTTCTACCACTGACAGGGAGCCTCAGTTTCCCCTCCCCATCTCAGTGGATCTTGTGTGTTAAGCCAATGGAGTAAGATTGTATTGGCTATGGCCTAAGTTTGATTTGTTTTTCAAAGATTCGTACATTGCATGCTGGGTTGTCAGTGGGGGGGGGGGTGCCTTTAAGGTGGAGCCCTGCAGAATGTGCCTCAGGGTNCAGAATGTGCCTCCGGGTGGAGTTGAGATAGTCCTCAGGGAATCCTGAATGAATTCTGACAGGGAGATGTGGCAAGAGCCATGCTGGCCCTACATAGCCCTGTGGCATCTTGTCTCAGAGCATGATGCATTCCTTTGGCACACACTACCCCAGCGGCGACACTGGCCATTGTGCCAGCGCCATCACCTTGATCCACCTTCCCTAGAGAGCTGCCTGGCTTCAGGTCTTTTCTACAGTCACAGAAATGGACTAAGACGGTAGCTGCAGGTGGCTTATGTCTTGGGTTTTCTTCTCCAAGTGCAAAGCCCAAATACTTAACTAGGGCCTTATGTAGAGATGGGACACGGGGAGGATGCTGCTCAGTTTAGTTTTGTCAACTTGACAAGAGCCACAGTCATCTGGGAAGAGGGAACCTCAGCTGAGAAAATGCCACCCTGGCACTGGCCCATAGGCAAGCCTGTGGGCATGTTCCTGAGTAATGATTGACGTGGGAGGACCCAGCCTGCTGGAGGTGGTGCCACCCTGCACAGGCTGTCCTGGTAACCACGAGGAACAAGCCAGTGGGCAGCACTCCTCCGTGGCCTCTGCCTCAGCTCCTGCCTCCAGGTTCCTGCCTTGTCCTCCCTCAGTGGTGGACCGGGAAGTGCGAGTGTGAGCCAAATGCTGTCCCCTCCTCGGGACGCTGTTGGCCATGGTGTTTATCCCACAGAGAAAGCCAACTATGACAGGGAGGCAGCAGAGGGTGGACGGGATGAGAAGCCGGGCTTCAGCCAGGCACATGCTTGGGCCTCAGGGAGCTCGGGGGTGGGGACTGAACCCCAGATAAAGGCAGTTCATTGTATCTGAGTGTCAACAGGGCACGGGCTGAGGTCAGCGCTCCAGAGGAAGGGCAGCTGTCACCGTCAGCATTCCTAGAGACTGGGGAGGTGCATCCTGGCATCAAGAGACATGGAGAGGAGGCTACAGTGCTTACCACCCCAGTGAGCCCACCACCCTGGTGTCCTGTCTCCTTAAAAAAACGAAAAACATAACATTTAATATGTGGCATACGATGCTTGCACCAGGGGTGTGTGTGTGTGTGTGTGTGTGTGTGTGTGTGTGTGTGTGTGCGGCAGATCATCTGTGAAGGTCAGAGGACCACTTGGTGGGGTCAGTTCCCTCTTTCCACTTCCACATGGGTTCCGGGAATGAACTCAGGTTGTTGACCTTGTAGTCAAGCTCTTTCCCCGCAAGGTCATCCCAGTGACCCCAGGGCACCATCTCTTACCATCACATCCCAGGGTGGCACAGGAGTCCCATCTCCACTCTGAAGGCAAACTTGTGACTCCAGAGCTGCTGCCTCCCGAGCTAACAGTTCCCAGCTGCCCTGGCCCACGTTCCAGGTGGGGTCCACAGGGTCCAGGATTAGAGGCCTGGGGACAAAGCAGATGGAGGTGGGGAGGTACAGTCAGCGATGAGCAGCTGGGAGGGGCCGAAAGGAACATTAGATGGAGTCCAAGCCAACTGCCTCAATCAGAGAGCTCTTGGGCCAATTAACTCTAATGACGTTTAACTGTGCTAATCAAATGGGCTCTGGAGTTTTTGGGGGCATCCAATGTACCTGCTTCCTCATCACAATGCAGAGGCAAGTGGGGAGGGTGGGATAGGTGAACCAAAGCCCACCATGGCTCCTCCTGGGTACTCAGACTCCAGGAGGGAGGCAGAAGATGGCATTGAGGTGGGCGCTGGGGAAGTATGCACCTGGCTTTCTGAAGCTGGCTGAGAAGATGCGCTCTGAGGGCCGGGTCCTGTATGCTGTAGTTGACTATCCAGTAGACACAGAGTGACCGATACTGCTGGACCAGCCTCAGGACAGTCCGCAGGCCTTCAGCCATGCTGAACCCCGGTTTCCCACAGCCTTGCTCCCAGGCAAAGATTGTCAGGAGCTCCAGGGCATAGGCTGGGGGCAGAGCAGCACCTGCTGCCTCTCCTCCTTTATCTCGAGAGGCAACCTGTCATCCAAGCAGAGATCAGTCAGGGTGGCCACCTGGAGGCTGGCTCTTGGGACTTAGAAAGAAGCAGGGGGTGTGTAAAACAGAACCTCAGAAGAACTGGGTGGCAGAGACTCCCTGGATAATGCTTTGTGTTTTACAGATTGGGGAAACTGAGATCTGGAGGGGGCTTGTGACTTGTCCCAGGTCAGACCGTGAATTGGGGAGCTCAGATTTGGGTGAGACCTCCCTCAAGGAGTATGAGGAGCTGTATGGGAATGGGGGCTGCAATCTGTCCATCATAGTATCTCATCACCCTCAGGCGACAAGCGTGGGCTCTGGCAGGTGCGTGTTGAACACACAGAGGTTGTGGACTAAGGTCCACCTACAGGGCTGCTGCACTGACCAGAACGCCTGCGACTCCGAGGAGGTTGCAATGCTGCAGGTCCAGAACCAAGGTTTATCTTTAGCACCCTTGCCCAACTCTGGGTCTGACTTGGCATCCTTATGACTGTTCCGCAGAACCTTTCGGGATTTGTTGATTTAACAGCTAGCTTCCACCAGCCCAAAGGCTAAAACTGTTATCAACAGCATAGGAGGCTATAGCAGAGCTAACCCTGTTTGCAGTTACCCACCGCTGTATTTCAGAACTGTTTGATTTATGCCTTTTATTTTCTTTTTGTAGTATTTTTGAGACAGGGTCTCTCTATGTAAGGTTACTCACAGAGATCCGCCTACCTCTGCCTCCTGAGTGCTGCGTTAAAGGTGTGTGTCACCACACCTGACTTAGGCTTTCTTTATTCTGTTCCCATGAAATAACTGTCCCCATGGAACCTGGAATTTGGTGACCTAATCCTGGTTGCTCGTATTCCAGTCCAGGTTATACTTTTATCCCCTCTGAGGGGAGACCTGGTTTTTGTTCTTGTCAGTGGCATGAATGCAAGTTAGCCTTCAGAAGAGGAGGTTCTAGAAGCTGCTAGGGTGCAGCACAACTTAAAAAGAGGTGGTGATGGGGACCATCGTAGGCACTTGGAGGTAATGACCCCCCCTCTCATTTTTCTCATCCACCTGTGAGGTTTCAGACTGACATAAGGTAATGGGGAGGAATGAGTGTCAGGACCCAGTAGAGAAATTAATATGCCTGGTGACATTCAAATTCAACTATTTCCATGACAAATGATTCTTAAAGACAATCCACAGACTGGGAGAACACATTCACATTACTATAAATAAATAAGGATCAACATTCACAATATGTAAAGAGCACTAGTGAACCAACAAGAAGTCAGCTCACAAAAGAAAACCATAGACAAAGAACATAGCAAGTGCGTCCTGGAAAGACAATAAAAACGGTCACTAAGAAGATAAACCAACCAGTCTGCAGGCGGGACCCAGCCAAGCGGCCTCACCTGGCGGTACCAGTGTTTGACCAGCAGGATTAAGTTCTTAAGCTTGATTGGACGAGTGTTCACAAAGTCCCTTCGGAGTTCTGTGAAGCAGGCTGCGTGCTCCCCATCCCGGCAGCCACTGCTGAGGAGGGAGGAGTATACCTCAGGTGTGGGCTTGACTCCAGAGCGGGGCTGTCCTGAGGGCAGCAAGGGAGGCGGGTTAGGAAGGACACTGGGCACTGAGCTCAACCTGGGAGGGCAGTGGCTTGAGGAGACAGTGGGTTGGATACAGGGGTGTGAGGGCCTGAGAGGAAGAATGGGTTTCAAGGTGGCTGAACAGAGAGAAGTTTCCGGCTAAGTCAGAGATGCTGGGGCCTGCCTGTTGTGGTCAGGAGCTGGTCTCAGCGAAGAACAGGCGACTATGGCCTGCAGCTTGTCCCCACTCTCAGCTGCAGATGGAGGCGTATTTTGGAATAAGTCAAAGTCTAGCTGGAACATGTCTGAGAATTCAAAATTCTCATAAAGAGAACATTTTCATCAGCCCCTTGTTCACATAAGTCTTAGTTTTCAGGGCTGAGGGACAAGCACTGAGCTCAGGACCACAGACCAGCAGGACCAGGCCTTCCTGATTCCTGTGGTGTCTAAACTGGATATATTTAGGCAAGAAAGTTAGGTTCAGAGAGGGTTTAGGGGCCTTTCTTAGGTCACACAGAAAGTGGGTGGAAGGTCAGAATGCAGCAACCTATCTTTCTCCTAACCATGGCTCCTCCAACTCTGAATCAGGCCGAGGACCTCTCACCCAGCACATCAAAGGCAGGCACCAGGCTAACATCCATCCAGTTTTCCTGATCTGCTGACATCAGCCAGAACTGCAAGACGCCAGTCGCCTTTGGCTCAGAAAACTGAAAGGTCAGTCCAGGCCCAGGGTGGTGTCCCCAGGACTCCAGCAACGCCCGCATGGCACCCAGGGTCTCTGTGCATCTGGTCTTCTGGTCCCCAAAGCTCCTGAAGCAGTTGAGGAAGACAACAAGTTCTGCATCACAGCCACCCCTGAGAGCTGTGCCCCGGGCATAGGCTCCTCCCTGTGAAGAGAAAAGACAGCTGGGGACCTCACGAAGGACGGGGTGGGCCGTGTGGGCTGAGGAGGCAGCTCTCTGCATCCAACACTGCCACACCAACTCCAGTGTCGTCTGTGTGACATGACATATGTCATTATGCCAGATGGGAGCTACGTGTCCCATGGGACTAGGCTTCCTGGAGGTCAATGGCAGACAGCCTGGTATTAGCCACAGCTGAGGCATAGACGGGTTTCTCGATTAGCTGGCTATGCGGGATATGAGCTTTGCACAATCTCTTTTATAATAATGATAGTCTTTATATATACAAGACAAGGATTGTCTCTTCAGGAACAGCTCTGGAATAGGGAAGCACAGTATGGGAATGTATAAGACTACAGAAGAACCTTTGTCATACACAGGGTGTATGATGAGCAAGGGAATAGATGGGTTAATGTTGATGGACAAAGACTGTTATATTATACTTTCAACTTTATGGATAGGCTTGCTAGATCCCAACCCCCATGATGTCTGCTGCATAAAAAGGCACTAAAAAGTATAGTTCAGCAGGTGCAGAGAACTGATTAGGTATATTTGGTCACTAGATGAAATAAAGGGTTAGGAAGAGGAAGGGCCATGATAGCGATAATGAGACAGAAACTTTCTGTTCATAAGATGAAACCACTTGCCTGAGGTTTACAGTTCCAAGGACAAGATTTCCTCTAAGGATGCTTTATGTCTAACGCCTGTTCCTGATAATATACTTTTCTTAAATATTGCTGATGTGACTAAAAGAAACTTTCATACTGTGCCAACCAACACATGACCTTCTGATTTGTTCTTTGAATACTATATAATGAAAACATGAATTCAGTAAAATTGCAGCAGATTCCAACCACTCTCTTGTGTGTTGTGTCTGTCATTCGCCGAACTTATGCCTTCCTGTTACCAAGACCCTGCTTCTCCCACGGTCTGAGTGGCTCCCCTGAGCGGGTCCGTGGCACAACACCAGGCAGAACCCGGGTCCTGCTCACAGCAGCCAGGCCTGAGATCTGGAAGAAGGGACTTCAATCTGTAAACGTGTGATTGTCATTTGATGCTAGGCACCAGCCCCCACCTGTTCCTTTTCTATTTTACAAAGATTTTCATTTCATGTGTGTGAGTGTTTTGTTGTACATATGTATGTGTGGTGCATGTGTGCCCAGAGTCCACAGAGCCAAGAGGAGGAGTGCTGGATCCTTTAGAACGGAAATTACATTCAGTTGGGAGCTGCCAGGTGGGTGGTAGGAACTGAACCCAGGTCCTCTGCAAAACACAGCCAGAGCTATGAACCCCCCAAGCTGTCTCTGCAGGTCCCTTTTCCATTTTCACATGTGTGCATATTTGCAATGTGTGGGCACACACGCATGTGGACATGTGTGTGCCTGGGGACGCACTACGTTGATGTCAGGAATCGTCCCCGGTCACTCCTCCGCTTTACTCACCGAGGCAGAGTCCCTGGATCAAACCCAGTCCTCGCCAATATGGCTAGTCTTGATGGCCTGCTTGCTCTGAGGATCCTGTCTCTCCCTTCAGAGACAGGGATTATGTAGTCTCTGGGGATTTGAACTCTAGCCCTCATGCTTGTGTGGCAAATGCTTTAACCACTGAGCTGCCCCTCCAGGCTCCATTCTCAGTCCTTTCAAAACGGAACCAAGTGTGGTTGGGTACGTTCACGCTCACTGTAGCACAAGCATAGAAGTGTGCTGTGACAGGCCTAGTGTTTCCGGTGGTTTGATGTCAGACTTCCGGCCTGAGGACCCAGGAAGGACACTTCCACACCCTGTGCCCTGTGCCCTACATCTGCCACACGTTATCTGTTCCCAGAGCACAGCCACCCTGGTGTGGCCACGTATGGTGGCAGATACAGGTGCTTGAGCCTGACCACAGGATGAGAATCAGATTGTGGTACAGGTCCCAACCCTGAGGCCCTTGTCATTGCAACGATGACTCCAGGCCCCTCACTGCTGTGTGGAGGGCAACTCACCCTCCCTAAGGACGCTGGGATCCTCACCTCACAAGGAAAAAAATGGGAAAACTGGGAGGGGATGCTTCCATCTCCCGTTCGTCAAGTCAAAAGCAGAGACTGAGGTCTCAGCTGTCCCCAGTGGCGCAGGGAGAGGATCTTTTTCCTCCCATAGGGTATTGGGTTCAATTTTGGTTTTCAAACCCATACCATGGGGAGTTTAAAGAGGCATTGACCCACGAACCCTGTTCCTTCCACCTCTACCCCTGTCCTCTCTGTGTGATTGAAAAGAAAATTTCTAGCCCAGTGGGGGTGGCCTGTGCTGGCCTGTGGTGGCCTGTGGTAGCCTGTGGTGGCCTGTGCTGGCCTGTGGTGGCCTGTGGTGGCCTGTGGTGGCCTGTGATGGCCTGTGGTGGCCTGTGGTGGTCTGTGATGGCCTGTGGTGGTCTGTAGTGTTCCACCTTCCTAACCCCAGTACTGAGGGGACATGATAGATCTAAAATATTCACTTTCTAGAGCAGGTAACTGTGTCCCAGAGGACAGGCAGTTTGCACTGCAGATGCTTCAGGGACTGCTGGTCACCTGAGATAGGGGCCCATTCTGACATCGATCCTGAGGTCTGTGACTCCCAAACCCTGTGCCTTCCTTCTTGACTTTTTGGCCAAGCTGGGAACCACAGCATTCCAAGACCCCTTTCAGTGGGGGAGAGATGCCCCTGAAACTCAGTGTGGGCAGGGAGTGGACAGCAGGAGCCAGAAGATAGAAGCCGGAACAGTCCCCCTTGGGACACTGGAAGGGACCAGCCCGCTCATGTGTTGACCTGGGTCTCCTTATTCTCCACTGTCAGTCTGCCGCAGGCATATTTACACACTCTGTCCCTGCAGCCCCGGGGAATGGACCAGTCCCCTTGCCATCTCCCTGGCTCTCTGTACCTCCCCCCGACTCCTTTGCTATGTTTCTTCTGGTTTTTAATCCACCTCTGGGTCTCTGCACAGCTGCTCCCAGGGCCTTGCATGCTCTTCCACATCAGCATTTGGTTGGAGGTTCTGTGTGCTCTTGTCCTTGGCTAAGACGTTCCTTCCTGGGGTAGCAACTCAGGAGCAATTTCTAGTTTCCAGGCTGAGTAAGATACCCTGCTTCTCCCTTCTCCAGGATCTTGTCCTGAGGAAGGGGAGAAAGAAAGAGAAGGAAAGCCATGGTCGTGGGGGTGTGGGGGTTAAGATTCTGCAAGGCTGAATAACTAAGTAGAACTTTGGGAGGGAGCGTTGGGATGTTGCAGATCCAGAGCTGAATTATCATGGGCTTTCTTCAGTCAGTCGTTGAAGTCAGTTGTTGGCCACCCCCGTGTCTGGTTTACATCCTTGGAACCATCCTGCCAAACCCTTGGAATGTGTCTGACAGTGGTACATGTGTTTTAATCTCAACACTCAGAAGGCAGAGGCAGGAGGATTTCTGGTGACCTGATGCCAGCCTGGTTACGTAGGACAGTCTGGGCTACTGTAGAGACTGCCTCTAAAACAATAACAAAAATCCTTGCAAGAGCCAGGTAGCTGCTTCCTGACCCCTGTGGGATGGAGCACCTGCTGCTTCCCTGCCCAGGGCCAGGTCAGGCAGGATGTAAAGGGTCTGGTTTAAGGTCACGGCCTCTAGCAGGGTTGAGACCCTGGATCCAGACCAGTTGGGCTCTGACACACAGGCAGGGAGGCTTAGGCATGATACCACAGTGCAGAGAAGGAGCTGTGTGCACACACGTATGTGCCAGGGTGGCATGATACCACAGTGCAGAGAGGGAACTGTGTGCACACATGTATGTGCCAGGGTGGCATGATACCACAGTACAGAGAGGGAACTGTGTGCACACACATATGTGCCAGGGTTTGTATGAAGATTGGCCAACTGGGACGTCTCACCCTAGGGGTCAAAGTCAGCAGCAGGACATTCTTTTTGAGCTGGTGTGTGTCAGCATGTGGGGCTCATCTGGTAACTTCCGGTCAAGGCTTCCTGTCCTCTATGTCTGATTTCGCTGCAGGAACACCACCCTCTTCCCAGGTGCTTGAACGTTCACAGGTCTGGGTTCTGTTTCCTCAGCAGTCAGGAGGTTGGAGTGAACCCTGGCCCTGGGGACTCTGCCTGTGAACTGTCCTGTCATGATCCCCTCCTGTTCACACCCACAGTGCCTCCTGGAACCCCCTATATCTCAGATATGGAGTCCCTGGTCCCTGGTTGGTTAGCGATATTTAGGCAATGGGGGGAGGGCACCAGGAGGAGGGGCCTCACGGAAGGACTTTAGGCTATTAGGGAGCATGGTCTCAAAGAAGGTATATGAATCTCCATAGCAACAGAACAAATGTTGGAAAGTAATATGAGAAAAGACCTGAGAGATGCCCACAGGGAGAGAATGGACCCTTAACGTCACCTGCGAGCCTGGTGCTTGGTGTGATGTCACAAATGGAGCTGAGCAAAGGGCAGGTAGAGCCTTGACTTTTTCTGAGGTTGGGGGTTGGCCTTGAACTCACAAAGATCCTCCTGCCTCTGCCTCCCCAGTGCTGGGATTAAAGCTGTGCACCACCATCTGAGCAGTGACTTTTGTTGTTCTCAGATTTCTGCAAGGCCAGGGTGGGCATGGGGCTCGGTTGGCAGAGTGCTTGTCCAGGGCTTAACAGTGTGGGGCTCGGTTGGCAGAGTGCTTGCCCAGGGCTTAACAGTGTCAAACTCTGGGCTCCATATAAGCTCACATGGCATGTGCACGCACACACACAAACACACACACACACACTGAGGCATGTGTGTGCATGCACACGAGATTCTAGAACTGAGTGCATGTTTTGTACAGTCCATTCATTTGTCAGACAGATGAGGAAACCATGACTTCCTGTCATGTCCTGACAGGAAAACCACTCTCCTAGCCTGATGTTTAACACACCAGAAGACCACCTCTTGCTTCCCCTGTGTTCCAGAATCTTCTAGCTATCAGACTCACCTTGAGATTCTTAAAGCCAGCTGAGTAGGCTATCCTCCCTCTTCCTTTTGAGACAGTATTTATGTGTACATAGCCTAGGCTAGCCTTGAACTCCTAATCCTTAGACCTTGGCCTTCCAAATTCTGAAATTACAAATATGTATAGGGACACCTGGCTGCTGCTCATTATTATTATTATTATTATTATTATTATTATTATTATTATTATGTTATATCTCTTTGACACACACACAGGAGGGCATGGAAGTGGTAAAGATGAGCTGGGCATTGTGGCACACTATAATCCCAGCATTCTGGGGACTGAGGCAGGAGGATTGCTGTGAGTTGAAGGATAACCTGGCCTATTTGGCTATGAGACCCCATTCAACAACTAAAAGTGTCACTGACATGGTTCAGAGGATGCAGGGGTTTGTTGCCAAGTCTGATGGCCTAAGTTTGATCCTGGGACCCACATGGTGGAAGGAGAGAGAGCCGACTCTTGGAAGTTGTCCCCTGGCCCCACATGTTCACACACATGAAATAAAGGCAATAATATATTTTAAAGTATAATTTTCTTGGTCCTCACCCAGATCTGCTCAGGACCCTCAGCGGGGCTCTTGCTGTCCCGTCCTAGCCCTTATGTGAAGGGTCTTCAGCATCGCATCCCTCAGGCAAGGTCAGTGTTAGGTTTCTATTGCTGTGAGAGTCACCATAACCATAGCAACTCTTATAAAGGAAAATATTTAATTGGAGTGGCTTGCTTGCATTTCAGAGGTTCGGTCCAACATCATGATGGGGAGCATGGTGGCATGCAGGCCGACAAGGTGCTGGCTCATCATCTTCCAGCCACAACATTCCAGGTGAACAACACTGTTCAATCTTTCTGTCCTTAAAGTCATCAACAGTCTTACCCATCTGTGAATCCTACCAATAAGGACGGGCCTGGCAAGATACAGCCATGGGTGCAACAGTGGCATGGATATTATGGGGGTCACTGGCCACGCTCTGACTGGATTTGAGGGCCACGCCACGAGAGGAAACTCCAACCTGGTTCTGCACATCTGGTTGAGAACCCATGGCTGAGAGCTCAAAGGCCCCAGGGATGAACCTACTGGAGCTATCCTGACAAATGGACACAGTATCAGGCTACCCTCTGCATCTCTGCTCCTGTGGACGGGTGCAGCTCTCTGACGTCAGCAGAGAGGTCTCTCTGTGCGGTGGATGGTGGTTATACAGAGTTACAACTGAAGCAGGGAACAGGGTCTGTGGAGTGCTCAGCCACAAGCGGGGCGTCTGTATTGCACCCCCTCCTCTCATGGCTCAGGGGACATAGAGAAAGAGGGGATGGAAAGATCGGACGGTGGGAGAAGACTGGGGCAGATCAGAGTCTTCTGGACACAGCAGGACAGCTGCCACTGTGAAGTCACACAGCTGTGGTAGCCTGAACAAGGTCAAGAGGATCAACGTTCTAGCCTGGATGGGAGGGGCACTCACACACCCTCTCCCTTGATGAGGAGCCATTGGCAGTGGTGGCCATTAGTGCACAGAGAGTGTCGTGGGGATCCTATGGTTGGGATGAAACACAGTGACCAAGAGCAACTTGGGGAGGAAAGAGTTTATTTCACTCACAGTTCCCTGTCACAGTTCATCATCAAAGGCAGTCAGAGTAGGAACTCACAAAGGGCAGCAACCTGGAGGCAGGAGCTGATGCAGAGGCCTTGGAGGGTGCTGCTTCCTGGTTACAGTCCACGATGATGGAGGCATTTCTTCAGTTGAAGTTCCTGCCTCCCAGACAACTGGCTTGTGTCAACTTGGCATTAACCCAACCAAGACAGAGTTCATTTTCCTTAGGGGTGTGGTCGCTGGCAAGTTGCCCACATTCCCATGCATGTACTCACACCCGTGTGTATATAAGAAGCATTAACTGGGTTCACTGGTTTACTCACTAAAGTTACATGAAGTTATGAGGGGAGTTGGGGGGACCATGAGCTGTGAAGGGGTAAGGGGAGGGTGAATTTGATAAAAATACATTGCTGTATATTATGAAAATTTCACACATATTTTTCAAAATGTACAGGAAGATTCTTAATTCCACTTTTTGTTTTTCATCGTCCAAGAGGCACAAGTAACCTCCTGCAGAGCTGGTCAGTTCCTTCCAAGGGGCTCGTGAGGAATAGTAGTGTGTGCCCAGCAGCAGCTGCACATGTGGCCAAGAGGGTTAACCCTTGTGACCTGTGCACTCCCTGGCTCAGTCAGGCTTGCCAGGGGCGTTGGCCTCATTGGCTGAGTGATATGTCATATCTCTTTGACACACACACAGGAGGGCATGGAAGTGGTACAGATGAGCTGGGCATTGTGGCACACTATAATCCCAGCATTCTGGGGACTGAGGCAGGAGGATTGCTGTGAGTTGAAGGATAACCTGGCCTATTTGACTGTGAGACCCCATTCAACAACTAAAAGTGTCACTGACATGGTTCAGAGGATGCAGGGGTTTGTTGCCAAGTCTGATGGCCTGAGTTTGATCCTGGGACCCACATGGTGGAAGGAGAGAGAGCCGACTCTTGGAAGTTGTCCCCTGGCCCCACATGTTCACACACATGAAATAAAGGCAATAATATATTTTAAAGTATAATTTTCTTGGTCCTCACCCAGATCTGCTCAGGACCCTCAGCGGGGCTCTTGCTGTCCCGTCCTAGCCCTTATGTGAAGGGTCTTCAGCATCGCATCCCTCAGACAAGGTCAGTATCATTTTTAGGGTTTCTATTGCTGTGAGAGACACCATGACCACAGCAACTCTTATAAAGGAAAATATTTAATTGCTTGCATTTCAGAGGTTCGGTCCATTATCATGATGGGGAGCATGGTGGCATGCAGGCTGACAAGGTGCTGGCTCCATCTTCTTCAGAAGGCTACAGGAAGTGGACTGTAACTCTGTGTTGTATGATGGGCATGTGAAACCTCAAAGCCCACCTCCCTAGAGACAGCCTTCCTCCAACAATGCACACCTCATAATAGTGCCACTTCATATGAAATCATAGGGACAATACATTCAAACTACCCGAGTCAGGGTAAACCAAGGGGTCTTTATTAACAACCAGGCCATGAAGACTGTACTTTTTGATGAGGGCAGGCTTCTGAAATGAATGATGTATCTATGGCTACCTGCTTCTTCAAAAATAAAATTCCTTAAAGTCGTCAAGGGCTTGTAGCCATGACTGTGGACAGACCGAATGTTCCAGTTATTTCCTCTGTCTTCCTTCCATCCCTTGCTCTCTGCAGAGATTCCAACAGTGACTCAGGGTGTGTGTGTGTGTGTGTGTGTGTGTGTGTGTGTGTGTGTGTGTGTGTGAATGCATGATTGTTTTTTGAGACAGGGTCTCATCATGTAGCTCAGGCTGGCCTCAAACTCTTCATCTTCTGTGTCAGCTTCCAGGACTTGGGATCACAAGTATGGACCAACTGCCACCCTGCCATGATGAACATCCGCTCCTGCTGGGCAGGGAGGGTTAGGGATGGAGACAGGCTAGTTCCTCATGGTGATTTGTCCTGGGTATAAGTCAGCAATTTACATTATTGAAGTTGGGGGTCACAATTGACTGATAATGGCAGCTGGACAGAATGGCAGACCCCTGTAACCTCAGAACTTGGGAGGCCAATGCTGCAGATACCCAAGTTCACATCTATCCTGAGCAACATAGTGAGGTTCCACATTAATGAAATATGAACCCTTTGTCCTGTATGATGAACAGATGGGGTGGGAGGGCAGTGAAATCATGTGGAGGATGTCTTGGATGATGGCCACATGGGTGTGCACCTGAGGACCCAGGGAACTGTGAGACCAGAAGGCTGAACAAGCTCGCCATGGCCTGGGCAGAAAGCTCATCATATTGTCCCGGTATGGACCAGTCATGTGCCACACACCGACCACAGCAGTGGTGAAACTGGATGCCAGCATTTTCTGGATGTTTCTCACTTGCTCTTCACATTTTAGTGAGTGTCTGTATTGCTGTTAAATGTCTAGGTGACTATAAACCATTCTTCTTTCAGTAACAGAAGACCAAGAAGGAAAAATAAAACAATATGTTAAAATACTTCCTGCAGGATGAGGGTTTGAGAATCCAAACGTAAGGCCTCGCTGAAGCACCAAAGTGTCAGGGAGCCCAGGAGCCATAAACCCCAGAGGCCTCTGCCCCTCCCCTTCTGGGAAACAGAAACTAGCTGTGGATATAAGGTGCAGCTGGCTCCAGCGGCAGTGCCACAGTCAGCAAACACAGCTGGCCCGAGGATGACCCAGAAACTCAACAACACCCCTGCCAGAGATCTGGACAAGTTCATAGAGTACCACCTCCTTCCTGACACCATCTTCCGAACTGAGGTCAGAGCAGCCATCGACACCATATGTGCTTTCCTGAAGGACAGATGCTTCCAAGGTACTACCCATCCTGTGAGGGTCTCCAAGGTGGTGAAGGTGAGTTCCCCTCCACCTGAGCTGACCCGGATGGGGAGGGAGTGGACCCTCAGGAGCCAGGCTGCAGCCCTGAGTGAGAGTGGGTTACCCACCTCTCTATGTCCCAGTGTTCTCATGTGCACCCCAGATGTGGCACAGGGTAAAGAGCAGAACAGAGACCCCCACATGCTGGATGACTGGACTGAGGGAGCCTCATTGTCCATGTTTCCCACCTGCCAAATAGGACCTCATGACAACAGTACCTAACCCATAGTCACTGTCATGGCTACTGAAATGTCATTTTGTAATGCCAACTCAGCTCTGTGGGGTGTACACGTGTGTTAGTGAGTGTGCCCTATATTTAATTTTGGGAGGTGTTGTGAAATGGTGGGAGATTGTACCTTTGCAGGCCAAGAGGCGACATGGCAGGTGAGAGACAGACACACCATTCCGAAGACAGGACTTATGTGGGGAGTTTTATTGGAGGAAGGGAAGGGAGAGACAGAAGAGAGGAAGCACAGAGTGACCTTGTGGGAAGAGAGAGAAAAGGAGAGAGAAAGAGAGAGCAGTACAGAGGAATGCAGAGAGAAAGATGAAGAGGAAGGAAAGGTAGAAGTAGGCAGAGTTCTGCCTCTTAAAGGAACAGGGTACTGCCTGGGTGACACACTGTCGGGTATCCAGGGTGCAGGGACCATATGTGTCTGGATGCTAACGTTCCTCCCCTTTATTTATTAAAAGGTTGAGGAGTTAGGTGTGACAGGTTAAGGAAGTGAGGGCACGAACTCTCGAGACTGCTTCCTGCTGGTTCGTGGGGTGTCAACCGTATGTGGGAAACCTGAGAAAGCTGGAGTGCTGGCCATGTCCTGGGTTAGTTGGTGGTTTCACTGCTGTCCAGGATCTATGGAACTGTCTGCGCCTCTTGGACCTGGCAACATGCTGGCAGAGCAGAGGACAAGGTTAAGTTTAGGGGATTTTTTTTTTTCTTGGATTCTGGTCATTGAGAGAGGGGAGTGTCAAGACCAGGGACAGCTGGGGAGGCACAGTACGACCTGTGTGAGGTGAATCCAAGTCAAATGCCTGGAACTTACAAGAATTCTTTGAGTTTGCAAAAACATATAAACTTTAGACACATCAGAATTTTTACTGCATATAATCAGTATTGGAATTTAAATCACAGAAACAGCAGCGCACTCATCAGAAGTGATGCTGGTTGAAAGCATTAATGCTCTTTCTTCTGTCCAGAAAACTGAGACAGATGTTTTTAGCACAACGAAAAGGACCTTTTAAGTCTAGAGTTAGGAAACAACCAAAGGGAACTCAACATCCTGAGCTGTGGCTATGATAATATAGTGGCATAGGCCAGTGGTTACTACTCTGCCCAAGCTAGGTTAATAGCTTATCAGAATTGTATTGATTACTGTTAAGACTATGAGCTTGTGGAGTCTTAGTAGCATAATGAGAGAAAGAGAGAGAGAGAGAGAGAGAGAGAGAGAGAGAGAGAGAGAGAGCAATCTGGAACATGCTTCATTTATTTAAGTGTCTCAAATCACTTTCTCTGTCAGCTCTTAAGCCTTTTTCCTCAGAACTTTATTGATGTGGTCCAGCTCTGTATGCTATAAATATGTCTTATTACCATTGGTTAATAAGGAAGTTGCTTTGGCCTATGGCAGGGCAGAATAGAGCCAGGTGGAAAATATGGACAAAGATATATAGAGAGAGTAGGCTGAGTAAAGAGATGTCATGTAGCTTAGCTGCTGAAGGAGACAGATGCCTGTCCCGGAAACTTATCAGTAAACCACGAACCTCATGATAAAATACAAAATAATAGGAATGGGTTAAATTAAGATGTAAGAGTTAGTTAATAAGAAGCCTGATACAATAGGCTGAACAGGGTTTTTTTGTGTGTTTGTTTGTTTTGTTTTGTTTTTATTTTTCGAGACAGGGTTTCTCTGTAGCTTTGGAGTCTGTCCTGTAACTAGCTCTTGTAGACCAGGCTGGCCTCAAACTCACAGAGATCCGCCTGCCTCTGCCTCCCACGTGCTGGGATTAAAGGCATGCGCCACCACAGCCCAGCCTGAGCAGTGTTTTAATTTATACAGTTTCTCTGTGCATATATGGTCTGGGCGGCAGGGAAAGAAACTAGCAGACTCCGCTTACACTTTATAACTTACATTTACACACTTAAATAACCTGCATCTGCCCACCTTAAGACACCTTCTTAGGCCCTAAAACATTCTGAGATCCTCGTATCTTAAGCTTTTCTATCTTTACAGAAGTGGCCTTTAAAGCACCTGTTCCTTCCCCGTCATCATGGCATCTCCCTAACACTCGGGAGAAATCTGTCTTGTGAGTTTCTCTTTCTGAGTCTGGGAGCAAGGTGAACTATGTCTAGACCTAGCATTAGCTCCAGGAGAGTGAGGCCTGGGACTTGAATTCTTACACAGAGTGCTGAGAAGGCGGCTGAAGCCTTGGTTGCTGCTGTAAAAGGGGCAGAGTCGTCCAACAGCGTCGGAGTCCAGAGAGGCATAAATTTTACCTGAATTAATGATTAGAAATGGCAGCGACTTATTGCTTGGCTACCTAGGCGGCCACCACAGGGTCCCCCATGGTCACAGAGGTTTCAGGGCAGCATCCATCTTCTGGCTGGAAGAGGCAGGCCTGCAAGGCCCCAGAAGACCCCACAGGCTTCTGTGGAGTAGGGGCTCCTCGGGGGAGCAGCCGACCCTTGTTCTAGGCGACCTGAGGCAGTCTATTCTCCAGGGTCCTGCTGATCACAGTCTGAAGAGGGTTTTGCAGCAGTTGAGGTGATAGGCATTTTTTTTCCTTCAGCGGCTAGCACTGCCACTTATGAAGCAAGTTCCAGGTGGAGGTTCTTCTGTGCAGAACCATCTTCTTTGGAGGGAATGGGGGCCGTGCCAGGAGCTGGCCTGTCCTTCTTTATGACAAACCTTTTAGTTAAACTTTTTAAATGCAGTATTCTGCAGACCTCTGAGTATTTGAGGACTTCTGTCTATTGGGTTTATCTGAGTAGTTATTTGTTAGAAGCCTTACACTAAAAACCGACAATAGTGAAGGTCACACAGTAGGAGAGGGAATAATCTTCTACCTTTAGTTTACGCTTGATTTAATTTTATTTTGCTTTGTTAGGTCTCCCTTGTAGACAGCTCACAGGAAGGACGGGGTGCTATACATCTCTAAGTTAGCTTTTGTTAGTCTGAGATAGATCTTTATAATCTTAAATTTTTTATCATTATATAGAATATATTTTAAAGTAGAGTTGAATCACATGTGCAGTATGCTGTAGCAGAGCTAACCATATATTCTTATCATCGTCTTAAAGTACATGCTAATTTAAAGTACTTGAGACTTTTTTCTTAGTCTAGAAGGAGATACCATGAACAGGGCTCACTGGGATTGTTTAGAGCATTTTCTTAGACAATAGCTACATATATACACACACAGAGTTAAAGCTAGCTTCCATGTACACGTATAGGGTTAAGTCTAAATTATAAACACACCCGTATTAAACAGGATTTGAGAAAAATAGTAAGGGAGAACAGTATGGAGCAAGAGAAAGACTGACTCTCTCTCTCTCACACATACACACACACTCACACTCAGAGCCATATTAAAATCTGGACTCCAGAGATAAACACTGATGTCTGTCATCCTGATTCTGGCTTCTCTCTCCTACCATGAGGACATCCAGAACCATCTATTTTCCTACATAGATCCTGATTTCACGCTCGGGACTGACTAGTATTCCACTGCGCATGTGCCGGCTTTCTCTACTCAACTATCTCCCTGGGTGGTGGACCCCTAGGCTGCTGAGGGCCTGGATTGCTGGCCAAGGCTCTGCCTGTCGCCTGTCATTCTCATCGTTCTCTTTCAGGGCGGCTCCTCAGGAAAAGGCACAGCTCTCAAGGGCAGGTCAGACGCCGATCTGGTGGTGTTCCTTAACAATTTCTCCAGCTTCAAGGACCAGTTAAACCGACGCGGAGAGTTTATCCGGGAAATTCGGGAACAGCTGTATGCATTGCAGCGTGAGGAACGTATTAGAGTGAAGTTTGAGGTTCAGAGTTCATGTTTGCCCAACCCCCGGGCACTTGGCTTCACACTGAGCTCCCCCCGACTTCAACAGGAGGTGCAGTTTGATGTGCTGCCAGCCTATGATGTCCTGGGTAAGGCAGTCAGGGCCTAAGGGTCCCTTCCATCCTCTCTCTCATTTTTGTCGTGTGTGTGTGTGTGTGTGTGTGCATGTGTGGGGATGTCCACACGTGTGTAGATCTATGCACATGTTTGCAGGTGTGTGTAAAGACCAGAGGCCAGTCTTGGACGTCGGTTACTTGGGAGCCTGATTTGTTGAGAGTCTGACCTGGAATTTGCTGGCCCACCTTGGTGGCTCTGGCAGTATGCAGCTGAGCTCAGTGGGGTGTGAGCTCTGATGGAGCTGCAACCACAACCTCGGGCAGCCTGGTGCCTGGGCATGTTTATTAGGTACAGCACAGGGTGGGGGAGGGGTGGCTGGTGTGTAGTTGGTGTCTGTAGGAGAGGACTCAGGCTGTAAACAAATATATTCAGATATATTCACTCAGGCTTCCTCCACTTTCTACGAGACAGCCAGGTTTGTCTGTCTTGTTTTAAGAGAGGTTAAACCGGGGCTGGAGAGATGGCTCAGTGGTTAAGTGCATTGCCTGCTCTTCCAAAGGTCCTGAGTTCAATTCCCTGCAACCACATGGTGGCTCACAACCATCTGTAATGAGGTCTGGTGCCCTCTTCTGGCCTGCAGACATACACACAGACAGAATATTGTATACATAATAAGTAAATAAAATTTAAAAAAACAAAAAAAAACAAAAAAAAAAAAAGAGAGGTTAAACCTTGACCTGGAACTGGCTGGTTTTGTGTGTGTGTGTGTGTGTGTGTGTGTGTGTGTGTGTGTGTGCACCCCAAAATTACAGATTGTCCAACTCTACCGAAAGACAATCAGGAACACCCATGAAAGCACAGTGGGGGTTTGGGAAGCTTAGAGAAAGCTTGAGGCTTTACATTTGGGGACACAGCTCCCTGTTGACCACTGCTATTAACTTAGAGACAAGGTCATTGCCCTTGACTTAAGAGAGCCATAGAAACAGAGAATGAGAGACCAGTCTGGGAGTAAGAGCAGGGCAGCACGCGATGGAAAACCGCAGGAAGCTTGGATACCTGCTGAAAGGAAGGGGTGCAGAGGGGGTGACTCCCCAGAAGGCTGTCTTGGCCATGGACATCCCCAGCCTCAGCAGCTTTCCAGTAGGGAAGGGGGGCCACCACAGAAGGACCCCCTTGGAAATGACAGTGAGTGACAGCCCCAGAAAGGACCTCATTCACAACTCTACCCAAGACGACTTAGTCGGTGCCCCATTGTGTGGTGGACCTTGAAGCTGAAACTCTCCTGGGTCACTGAGTGATGGGCATGTTCCAGTATCACAGAGTGATTTTGCCATGTGCCAGCATCAAAGCCTGATGGTAAGGTCTGCCACAACCGTGGCCACACACGTGCACACGCCTGAGACACAGACACAGCCTGCTGCCTGTCTAGTCTACGCAGATGTGCACATGCACCCACACACAGTCACACAGCCATATGTGTTCCCTAGCCTGCTGCCTAACCACTCTACAAGCTCAGGAAACAACACACACACCCTACTCCTCTTAGGACCTGGGCAAACAAAACCACATGATATTCATTTAAGTATGACGGAAAGTCATCCAGTGAAAACGCACAGCTGTTGGTGAGACAGCTCAGTGGATAAAGGCAATTGCTACATAAGTATGAAGACCTGAGTTCAAATCCTCAACACTCACCTAAACAGAAAGGACCCACAACTGACCTCTAACCGAGGACTTACATGGCCAGAGACAGGAGAATCTCTGTGGTCTGCTGGTCTTCTCAAAGGGAGACACCTTATGTCTTCTCATGAACTCTTAACATAAGTGTGTACTTTCTCCCAAACACACACAAACGATATATACACCAGACAAAAATAGGACAGAGACACCGTAAGCACGTGGCCCATGATATAAACTATATCAAAGTGCTCCACAATAAACTCCGACACAAGCAGGAGTGTACACATGTGACATGCACCGTGCAGAAGATGCTGGACACCAGGGCATGGTTGGCCATTCTTAGATGACCGTGCAGCTCTCTTGTGTGTGACCTCAGTGTGCTGTTTCCTCCCACCACTGTCTCCAGGAGCAGCTGGTGGCAGGAACTTTCCAGGGCCACATGATGTATGCAGTCCTGAGGTGAGGGATGACACATGGATGTATGGGGAGTGATGCTTGCTAAAACTCTGGTCGCTTCACTGAACCCCATAACCTGTGAACTTGTCACCCCACAGATAGAGCCAGGAATGCCAGAGAAGGGCTGGAGAATTAGCTGAGTAAGGCCTCCTTTACAGGTCATGTCAGCACTGAAAGGAAACCTGACCCCCGGATCTACAGAAGCCTCATCCGTGAGTGCACCTCCCTATGGAAGGAAGGCGAGTTCTCCACCTGCTTCACCGAGCTCCAGAGAAACTTCCTGAAGGATCGGCCACCCAAGCTGAAGAGTCTCATCCGCCTTGTCAAGCACTGGTACCGACTGGTATGGCATCTGGTCCAGCCACTGTGGGCCCCATCTTACAGGGCAGAGAATGGAAGGGGGTGATGAAGAGGAAGAAAGATGAGGAGCAAGGTGGGAGGGAAGGAGTGGTGGGAAGGGAAAGAGAGCTGAGAGGTGAAGGGGAAGTCAGGGAAGAGATGCTGTAGGAAAGGGAGGGGGAGGGAGGGAGGGAGGGAGGGAGGGAGGGAGGGAGGGAGGGAGGGAGGAGGGCTTCCCATGCTGTTAGGAATGATTTCTTCTAGTCCAGTTTCCGTTCCGCTAACTCACTCTTCAGCTGCAGCTAATTCACTGTTCACGAGTCACTGTGAACTCTGAATTTCTCTTTCTTTCTTGCATTATTTAGAGACAGGGTCTCACTAGGAAGCTATTGATGTCCTGGAACTCACTATGCAGACCAGGCTGGCCTTGAACCCACAGTTCTGCTTACTTCTGCCTCCTGTTGCTGGGATAAAAGATACACACCCTCACACCAAACCTTATTTATGGATTTCTAGTGTCTTTTTAATGCAGGGTATTTACAATGACTTAGATTTTCCTGATGTGTCAAGCTATACTTTCTTAACATTCCCATCCTGCAATATTTCTTGAGTTTTTATATGTGTGTGAGATAGATCTGGTGCGGTGTATGTATAGCTGCTCTTGGGAGCACCTGTCTATGGTGTGCATGTGTGTACATAAGCATGTGGAGACCAGAGAGCGATGCCAGGTCCTCAGTCACTCTCCACCTTTTATGTCCAGGCAGGGTCTCACACTTGAGCCCACAGTGTGCTGAATCAGCAGTTCTGGATCGTCATATAGTCCTGGGGACCCCCATTTCCATCCACTTAGTTTGGGATGAGGAGTGGGTTCCTCACAAGCCTGACAGTCATGTGCTTTCTGGGATCTGAGAACTGGTTCTCACCCTTGCAAGGAGAGGGTGGCACTTTACCCACAGGGCATCTCCCTAGCCTTTCCCCAGTTATTTCAGAGTCTGTGATAAAACCATCAATGGTGAGCACCATTACTATCCCGCCCCTACCCTCACTCCCTGGCTGTCAATCATGGTGTCATGATTCCTCCTGTGCCTGCTGGTAAATGCTCAGTCTCTGTGGACCACACGGTCTCCATCTCAACCACACAGCCCTTGGCTATAGCATGGAAGTGCACATAGACCGAATCTACAAGGATGGGTATGACTGTGTGTCAATAAACCTGTGATGACATCAGGTGGCAGCTGAACTGACCCCGTGAGAAGTGGTCTCCACACCAGCTGACAGGCCTGTTCTTCTCATTGCCTTTCTCTTCTCTGTGTAAGAAGAAGCCGAAGAAGAAGCCGAAGAAGCCGCTGCCCCCACAGTATGCCCTGGAGCTGCTCACGGTCTACGCCTGGGAACGTGGGAGTGGAGACACTGAGTTCAACACAGCCCAGGGCTTCCGGACAGTCTTGGAACTGGTCACCAAGTACAGGCAGCTTCGAATCTACTGGACAAAGTATTATGACTTTCAAGACCAATACATCTCCAGCTACGTGCTCAGTCAGCTCAGAGGAACCAGGTAGACCATTCGCTCATGACTCAGCTCCTCACCAGGGGCTCCAGGCTATAGCAGTGGAAATGGGGAGGTGGGAGCTCCGTGTCAATGGAGCATCTCCTGTCCTGTCACTGTGCTGGGCACTGTCCTGCTGTCACCTGATTGACATGAGGACCTGCAGCTCTGGGAGGCAGGGGTGGGTTCTCCTGTCTGCAGATGAGGAAACCAAGGCTCTGACCTTGTCCAGACCCAAACAGCAGAGAGGGGAGTGTATGGAGCAGGAACTGAGCTGTTCCAGCTGTAACAGTATCGTAAGGGCTGCGAGGCACAGAACAGTGCTGGACTAATGAACTGTAAACAATGCGGTAGACTTGTTAGATGTCTTGATCGTGTGTTGTGTTCTACCCTCACACCTCATCCTTTGAGATGGGCTGGTTCAACTCTCTCCATTTCACAGACCAGAGAGGCTGAGGGACCTGACCCAGGACATACAGCTACTAAAGGGTAGAGGATTGGAACACAGCCCTTCCAAGTCATGTCCAGGGATCTCTCCAGGCTTTCTCTATGCTCTGGGACAGAAACTCAGGACAAACTGTCAATAGCGGAGCTCTGCTGGGCTCCTCCCCTGTCCCTGTGCAATGGTATCTGTGGCACTGGTCAGCTGGTCAGTTCCCTCTCTGAATGTTGCTCTGCAGGCCTGTGATCCTGGACCCGGCTGACCCAACAGGGAATGTGGCTGGTTCCAACTCAAAGGGCTGGCGACGGCTGGCAGATAAGGCTACAGCCTGGCTGGGAAAGGCATGCTTTAAAAGAGAGGATGGTTCCCTAGTGGGACCCTGGAATGTGCCGGTGAGAACTTATCATCATCTTGTCCCTTTGAACACAGATCTGGTCACACTATCTATTTCAAGAATATTCAGACAAAGATGCCTAGGCTTATAGGTTTTCCTGCCCCACTGATTGCTGTACAGTTATTCTCTGAGATTGTCACATCACCCCTGCAGAGTTCCTGTCACTCGGCCTCCTAAGGAAGGACAGCCTCTTTTCTGACTGTCTGCTTTGTGTTCAGGCTCCGTCCTGCACTCTTTATTATACACTGGATCCTCACACATGCTCTGTCCTGTGTTCTGTATCATGAGTAGCTCACTGGATCTGCACACACGCTCGTCCTGTGCTCTGTATCATACAGTAGCTCACTGGATCTGCACACACGCTTTGTCCTGTGTTCTGTATCATACAGTATCCCACTGGATCCTCACTAGGGCTCTACAAGGTGTACTTAATAACATCCTTGTCTTTCTGGTTGAACAAGAAGGCTCAGGGCTGAGGATATGGTTTAGTCAATAAACACTTGTCATATTATCAAGGGTAAGGAGCTTAATATCATCTCCAGATTCATGTAAGTGAGTCAGACAATGCACTTGCCATTCCAATGCATGGACAACAAGATCCCTGCCCTGGCTGGTGAGGAAGCATAGTCTCCTTGGTGAATTCCAGTCCAGTACAACCCAAATGCCAAGGTGGACAGCAGTTGAGGGCTATAGTGTTCTCTGTTGATTGCACAGACACAAATACATATATTCACAAACATATATACACATGCAAATACACATACAACAGAAACACACACACACACACAAATGAGGCCACCAGGATAAGAAAGCTGAAGCCACTGGCTCAGGAATGTTCAGCTAATGAGAGGAGGGGCTGGGATTCCTGTGAACTTTGAAGCCAGTGCTCAGGTCCTTGAAGCAGCCCATCTTTCCTGTCTCATCATCATGTGGCCAATGGGACTCAGCAGGGCTGTGTCACAGCCAAAGAGACACAGAGGGATTTACACTTGGACTTTTCCTGTCTTTGGACAGGGAACTTTCTGATGCTAGGGAAGAGATGAGGTCATGCGTGGACTCAGGATGGAGCCTAGCATGGGTGCATGGATGTGATAAGCAAACCTCAGAAGGTCAGGAAGGAAAGGAGAAAGGACTCAGGAGGGAGACAGCTGTGCCTGCTGTGGCCTTAAGGACTGTCACACAGCAGACTGTGGCTTGGCCCTGTCTCTCAGTTGGCAGATCTGTTACTGAATGAGGGGAACTCAGGTAGGGCTATGTACACCTTCATGCAGCTAAGAACCTGTCCATCCCCAAAAGTCCCGATGGCCATCTTCCCAACATGGGGATTGCTGACCCTTCTTCTGAGGGGCTCTGGTGGTCAGTCAAGTGCCCATCCCCAGAGCTAATTTACATACCCTTCCCGGTAGAAATGTGGGCTCCTGACACGATTGTGTGTTTTCTGTTACAGACGGAAGTTCCTGTGCCACAATAACAGGTTAGCTATTTTTCTTTGTTGTTTTTGTTTGTTTTGATATGGGCTTTAGCTATGTAGACCAGGCTGCCCTGAGCTCACTATCCTCCTGCCTCAGAGCTGGAAAGACTGCAGTGTAGGCCCGATGTACTCTGTCTTTCTTCTTCCCCAGGTGAACGAGAACGGGACATTCATCTCCTGTGAGCACAGCAGCATCTGCCCGGAAGGCTGCAGAGTCAGGGGATGTGCAGGCCTTGACCAGAGAGGGAAGGATGCTGCCCAAGGCCCCAGGGAGGGAGTGTCCAACCTGGAGTCAGACTCCAGGCTTCTGATCCCTGCCTGCTGAGTCTTCCATCCTGTCCCACACAGACAGCCTTCCTCATAGCCTGCTTCAGGCTTATCCTTATCCTCTGACAGTGTTCTCTGGGGGACATGAGATTCAGAAGGGGAGGGGAGAACTCAAGTTTGACTTCTGTCTGTGCGCCTGTTCTGTCCAGTGTCTGATCAACAACAATAAACCACAGCAGATGCCATGAGAATGTCTGAGACGACCCAGATACCCCCCCCTCTCTCCCTCTCTGTCTTTCAGTTAGATGCATTTATTGAGCACATACTACATGGTCCAGTGGTCCAGGCACTGAGCACTCATTAGTGGACAGAGCAGAACCAATCCACAACAGCGATGATGCCACATGGTTTGGGGTCCTTCCAGGTTTCTTACATCTAAACTCAAGACAGTATCCCTGGTTCCTTCTGTCCATGTCCCCAAGACAAGACTCAAGACTTGCCCCATCTGAATCAGAAGCTGTTCTGCAGCTGCACATGGCTACGGGGACCTGGAAGTGTGAGCAGTGCACATGAAGATACATGGTGGCAGCAACATGCAGGGGGGTGTGAAGAGGTGCATGACAAAAATGAACTGAATTTGTGAGACTGGTGGTCACAAAAACAGACACATGTATGTCTGCAGTGACGATGAACTTTTGATGCATGGAGTTAAATCACAGTGGGTGTCTGCTTCCTTTTTCTCTTTCTGAGACAAGACCTCATTATGTGGCATAGTCTGACCTAAAACTCATAGGCATCCTCCTGCCTGAGTCTCCCGAGCTCTGGAATCGCACACACACACACACACACAAACACAAACACACACCCTCCACACAGAGACCTAATGGTTCCATAGTTCAGTGTTGTGAACCAGTGGCTCATTTGTCAGATCCCAAAAAAACCATGTGTGCTCAACTCTTGTACCCTGCTTACTTACGAGTTCAGGGCATTGCACAGGGCACCTGCTCCCAAAGCCTGCTCCTGTCCCCAGTACCCACTCTTTTAATCACTGTGTGTGTGTTTGTGTGTGTGTGTCCTTCCAGTCCTCATTCATTCAGTTCTTGCTCTAATAGCCCTGAGAACCAGGAGCCCCAGTGTCCCAGAGTGTGAGAAGATGCATGTCCCCTAGACCGCGGAACAAATCACACTCTGCGTTGTGCTCTATCTGAGCCCCTGGTGACCCTGGTGATGCTGGTCCTACTATTCCAGTCTTACCTCTTCTGAAACACCCCCATATACACAGAGAAGGTTTTAACAACCAAGGCCCAGGGGTCCCTCGTAAATCCTGCCAACCTGAGGGGACCCATCATGTACCTCACACTATAAAGCAAATATACATGTGATATATAATGGTTACATCCCATGTCTCTATGATGAAATGACCCCTGGTGTGGACCTGCAGAGCCTTCCCAATGATAAAAAACCACGGAGGCTAACAGCAGGATACAGGAATGAGTGATGAGCTACCTTACAGAGGAGCCATAAGGTGGCTGGGTCAGGTTTCCATGACAACAGGGAGACTGAAGATCATCTCTCCGATGGAGTAAGATGACCACAACGGACACTTTCATACCACTGTGTCTGACAGCCATGTTGAACAGTGTCATGCTTGCCCCACACTGGACCTGCCCAAGAGCCCTTTGGCCCTAAGCACAATGCTCATCCATGTTCTTTCTGTGGGTGCCATCTTGGTTCTGACTTAGCATCCATCCTGTCCAGGGGAATGGCAAGGCTTGATGACAGACACTGGGTTTTTCAAGCCTTGTCTTCAACTTTAATCTTCTTCCTGAGGTCAGGAGCTCCCTCCTCTCCAGGGCCCACCCACTGAGTAAAGGAGTGTATGTCCATTGGAGGAAGCATTGCTCTGTCCACCATTTGACCACAGGGTTCGGTTCTCCAGGAAGCCACTTCATCTACACTCAATGGGTTCAACTCTGAAACTCAATTCATGTCAGGAACTGGGGGTGTGGGGAGGAAGCTGCTGTGACAGCCACTGCCTTCACTCTCTAGCTATCTCTTGTGGTTCCTTCTAATGGCCCACGCTGGCTCATCTTCATGACCAACTTCACCAACCTTAGACTCTCTGTGGAAACACCTCTGGGCATGTCGAGGGCATTTGTAGAAATGTCTTCTGACTGCTTCCTTCACTACGCAGCCTGCTGTCAGGGCTCCTCACCATCTGTGGAGTTTCCTCTGGATTCACACGGCCTGAACGATGTTTGAGAAGACCAACTATCAGAATGGTTAAGTGGCTTCTGACCAGTTTACGAGGAACACATAACGGGGAAGAAGGGCTCTTGTGCAGAGGGAATTGGGAAAGCTGGATCTCCATTGACAGGAATAAATCCCACCCTCACCTTGGGCATGTATATAGGCCATCCAAAATGGAAGCAGAAATCCCTAGAAAACAGATTATCTTAGCCATGATGACTTCGGCTGTTTTCTTGGCTCTGACATCAAAACCACAGACAACTCAGGATGATTCTTTTATGTCAGGCCTCATGCATGCTGGGTAAGCACTCTGCCACTGAGCCACACCCACAGTCTCTCACTGGAACACTCCAGACAGGTCCTTCCCAGTTGAGCCACACCCCTGCTGCCTTTCTGCTCTTACACGAGGAAGCCATTCTTCATGGAGACATGTCTCCTGTGGTCCTGCTTTAGCATGGAGTACGTGATGAGTGATATGATGGGTGCCCTCAGCTTGGTAGGAGACATAGGAGACCCCTGGGCATTGTTGATTCAAACCTTTGTGTATCTGGGGGTGTTTCAGAAGGGGAAAGACTGGAATCATAGGCAGCATCATCTGATTGTGACCATGTCCTGGTTCTTCCATTTCTTCCATCTTGGAATAAAGAAGTATTTAACTTGTGTTTTTAATGTTATATGAGCCCACAGTTGAGAGACTAATCTTTACAAGTGATGAAATTAAAAAGAATAAAACACTTTGGGACTTTTAAAGCTATGTTGTGTTTCTATGATGTGATAATTGACTTGAGATCTTAGGAATAAGTAAGAAAGAAAAAGTTATGGTTTTATAGTAATGTGCTTGAGTATCAAATTGAAAGGGGCTTGTTTGTAAAGATTAGTTTTTGTCAATTAGATATCAGGTAGGGTCATCTACTAGGAGGGAACCTTAATCAAGAAAACAACTCTATCATACTCGGTACGGGTGGTCTTTGCGGGTATGTCACCAATTAGTAATTGATGTGGTTAGTGCCGTGCCCAGGCAGGAGGCCGTAGGTTGTATAAAAGAGCAAGCTCAGGGACCATGGAGAGCAAGCCAGTGAGCAGAATTCCTCCATGGTCTCTGCTTCAGGTACTGACCGTTCTTCCCTCAGTGAAGGACTGTGACTGGGATGTGTAACCTAATAAGACATTTTCTTCCCAGGAGAGTTTTGGTCAGGTGATAAAGATATCCTGTCAAAAGAAAGCAAACTAGAACACCCTTTCTCTTCTCTGACTGTATTCAGTGGCTGTATAGACGGGGCTCACAGTGGATGGGCCAGACGCCATACCAGCTGCTACCAGTGCTTGACCAGGTGGAAGAGACCCTTCAGCTTGGGTGGTCGATCCATCAGGAAGTTATGCTGGAGCTCTGTGAAGCAGGTGGAAAGCTTGCCCTACAGCCCCAAGGAGGTGCACTTCCTGATGAAATTGGTGTAAATTTCAGGGTCAAGCCTGTGATTGTTTCTGACATGACCTGTAAAGGAAACTTCACTCCGTTAACCCTCCTCCCTTTTCTGGGTTTCCTTCACCTATCTAAGAAGTGATAAGCTCCCAAGCTGTGGGGTTCAGGAAACAGGGCAGAGTTTTACCACAGCAAGCATCACTCCCCACACATCCGTGTGATCCATCACACCTTAGGACTGCGTACACCTTGTGGCCCTGGAAAGTCCCTGCCAACACTGGTCCTAGTGCAGTTTCTTCTTCACAGGCCTGGAGACAGTGGTGGGAGGGAACCGCTCACTGTGTTCACACACAAAATTGCTGCACGGCCATCTAATAATGGCCAACTACATTCTGTGTGCCCGGTGTCTTCTGCATGGGGCTGGCCATGTGTGCTGGTGTCAGATTCACTGTGGATCAGCCTGCTGTATTTGTGTATCTTGTAGATCACACTTCCAGTGTCTCTGCCTGTTTTGTGTGTACATATGATGCTGTGAGTTCTTCAGGAGGTATATACATGTGTGCAGAGCCCAGAGGAGGACATAAAGCCTCTCTTGTCAATTTTCAAACCCAGGACAAACTGAGGTGCCTATTTAACATACCAAAGTGAACCTAGCAGCCAGGTTCTCCCAGCATCCTTCAGTCCCTACCTGTTACAGTTCCTCCTGCTCAGCATACCCACTCCTACCCTGAACATTTCAACCCAGAGGCCTGGGGTGCTCTTCCTTATATAATTCAAACATTTTGATTACCCATCCCTTTAATACCTTTGTCCTCATGGCTGCTGCACCTGGTCCCATCTTTCCCCTCTGTCCCTACATTGCCCAGCTCAGTCTGAACATGTCTACTCTGGACTCTCCCAGACGTCCCTGTCTTTGCCTATGCTCTGCCTTTTATACACAGTCAGCTTTCTCCTTCACAGTACCTAGGAGCAGTCAAGTCCTCTTCTTTCTTTGTTTCTGTCTAAATTCATCTCTCTTCATTGTTTGTCATCTTTATCCATTTGAGTCAGGGTCTCTCTGTGAACATGAACTTGAAGGGTATCCTTCAGGTCCACAAAAATTCTCCTGTCTCTGCCCCAAGTATGGCTTGGATTAAAGATCAATGTGTGGTCCTTTCTGATTGTGTTGTTGTTGGGATTTGAACTCAGGTCCTCACACTTGTGCAGCAAGTGCCCTCATCCACTGAGCTGTCCCCATAGGCACTGTGTGATTTCAGTGCATGATTTGATTTTCTGTAATGCCTACCTTAATAGAATGTGGTTTTTGTTTGTCTAGGTCCTTATAGCAACAGGAAGTGTGTGCGTGTGTGTGTGTGTGTGTGTGTGTGTGTTGAACTTGTAGAGTGGATGGGCAGCAGGCTAAGCTGTGGCTGTGTGGCTGTGTGGGTGCATGTGCACATCTGAGTAGACTAGGCAGGCAGCAGGCTGTGACTTAGGTGTGTGCACGTGTGTTGCTGTGGCTGCAGCAGGCCATACCGTCAGGCTTTGGTGCTGACACAGGGTACAATCACCTGCTGATGAGTTGGAGACATGTGCAGTGACACAGGAGCGTCTCTCCCTCGTGTGTTTATGTTCAGTTTCTGGGCCCAATACAGTAGGATGTTGGCTAAGTCCTCATGGGTAAGGTTGTGGCAGGGTCCTCTGTTGTGTTGTCCCCACACTGCTGTTTCCAAGAGAGCTCTTCTGTGGTGTCTCTGATGTGAGATTTCCCCTGTGTATTCTGTGAATACCATTGGTTAATAAAGAAGCTGTCTTGGGCCTGTGCAGGGAATAGAAGTAGGCGGGGAAAATGAAAATCGATGCTGGGAGAAAGAAAGGTGGATTTTAGAGAGAAGCCATGTAGCCCCTGCTGGAGACAGACACCAGACAGAATTTTATCCGGTAAGCCACAGCCTCATGGCAACACACAGATTAATAGAGATGGGTTAAATTAAGATGTAAGAGTTATCCAATCAGAAGCTAGAGCTAATGGGCCAAGCAGTGATTTAAGTAATATGGTTTGTTGCGTAATTATTTTGGGAGTATGGGCAGCCAGAAAACAAACAAGTGGTCTCCTACTAGAGTGGCCCTACTTCCCGAATCCGGTTTGAGCTCACTCAAGCTGGCCAAGTCCGTGACCAAGACAGGCTTCTGGGGAGCTGTCTTCCCAGCTCATTTCTGGGTCACCCCCTCTAAGTCCCCTCCATTCTGCAGGGATCTAAGCCCCTTGCAGCTTCTCACAGCATGCTGCCCTGCTCCTACTCCCAGGCTGGCCTCGCATTCTCTGCTGCCTGAGACTCTGTGTTATTTCCATGGCTCTCCTAAACCAGGGTGAGTGGTTATGTCTGTAAGTTAATAGTAGCAGTTCACACGGTGGCCATCAGGGGGAGCCATGTCTCCCAAAATGTAAAGCCTCCACCATTCTCTAAGTCTCCCTGTGCATGGCTGGTATGAAGCTGTGTGGCGAGTTCCTTGCATGTGACCTGCTTTGGCCTTTCTTTTGTGACCTTGTTGAATTGTTTACTAGCTCTAAAAACGTTCTGTCAATTCCTCCAAATTTTTCACCACATATTGATTGGTCATTATTGTGGTTTGATAGAAAATGGCACCCACAGGGTGTGGCACTATTAGGAGGTGTGGCTTTGTTGGAATAGGTGTGGCCTTGTTGAAGATGTGTGTCAGTGTGGAGGTGGGCTTTGAGGACTTTGTTGCTAAAGCTACACAAGTGTGTAACACACAGTTGCTTGTGTCACCTGCTTATCAAGATGTGGAACTCTCAGCTCCTTCTCCAGCACCATGTCTGCCTGCATGCTGCCATTGCCACTCACCATGATAATGGGCCAAACTTCTGAAGTGCAAGCCAGCTCCAAATAAATGTTTTCCTCTATAAGTGTTGCTGTGGTCATGGTGTCTCTTCACAGCAACAGCAACCCTGCTAAGACAGTGAAAGATAAGTTCACTAGTTCACTTTGCCCATGTGTAGGGAGGACAGCTAGACCATTGTTGTCAGTCAATTCTGGCTACTGTGCCTCTCTGTCCTCTGTGCTGGACAGTCCTCCATTGTTCCACAGGGAAGCCTGTCTCCAACTTCAGCCCAAGTGGGCATTCCCTCAGCCTGGCTAGTGCATCCTTGGGTAACTAAGTCGTGAGAGACATTGGATACGCCAGCTCTGTGACTAGATGATATGTCCAGCTCACTTCTTCTTGACGAGACCTGGACTAGCCTGATCTATATAATCTTTCACTAAGTCGCATGCCTAGGTGGCAAGTGATGTGGAGTGTGTGTGTGTGTGTGTGTGTGTGTGTGTGTGTGTGCATGTTCATGTCTGTCCCCTGATGAGAGCCCAAACGAGCCTCTCTATACCCTGAAAGGGCCCTGCCTCCATTCAGTGCCCTCTAAGAGGTAGAAGGCTCTCATATGCCCAGCGTGAGGCCCACAGTGAGCCATTTTTGTCCTGTGGAGGGTTGTCTGTGCACAGTGAACAGTGAGACTGCATCCAATCCATTGCCCACAGACAAACATGTACAATGTCCATGGGCTCCACCTTGTCATTTGTTGATAACCCCAGAATTGTGAGACAGCCTTGCAATTCTATATATA